AGATATGCAATGTTCAGAACAAATAGCCAAATTAATTTTCACTCTTTTAATCACAGCTCCAGCCAGTTAGTGATATTTAGCAAACAAGTTGATGCTAACACCAGAGGAAAAGAAAACACACATGAAGATCGTATTGGTCCAACTTCTTGGGTTTTGAAACCCATCTTTGTATTACACCACAATTATCCAATCAGCTCCAAATGTTCCAACCACTCTTTTGTGACGCTTTTTAACCAAAAGAAGATTTATCCCTCTAAGCAATGCCACTCATCACCCTCCTCCAGCAGCTCACCTGTTGGATGCTCTGTACAGCTGAATTAGTCTCATCTCCAACATTCCCTGTGAATTCACCTTCCTTCTCTGTGTATTCACTGAAGGCAGGGTCCTCAGGCACTTGAGCTTCCTCCTCCTCACCTGATTTTTGTTTTTGTTTCTGGCCACGTTTAGGAGCTTTTATGTGCTGCTTCCCTTCTGGTAGCTCACTCTGTTCCAAGGCTAATTCCGGCTGGAGCAACACATTTCCAAACAAAACATCAAGTCCTTTTGTTTAGTGAGGTTCCAAGAAAGAGACAATCACCTGAAGCTGGTTTACTGTCAGTTCTCGAGCAAAGAAACAAACTTTAGCAAAATCCTGACTCCAGGGATTGAGACCTCACCCTGTAATTACATTCTGCCTGTTATACAACCAAGCAGATCAGCAGCTTGTGGCTGCTTGGACATGTTCCACTGGGGCTGACTCTAAAAAAGCACATTCCTCACCCATCAGCCCACGCCCAGCTATGCTCTGTACCCAAAACGTGATGTCCCATCTCACTCTGCAGCAGGCCTGGAACTCACCTGAACAATCCCAATTGAAGAGGCATCAATGGTCGTGGTCTCTGGCAGTGGCTCTAAATCATCAATCCTGACTGAAAGAATCTGAACACAAAGAGGTGTCAGCTGCAGAAATGCAGCAGTGCAAACCACAGTCAAACAGCACAGCATTTCCCTAATACACCCCATCACCAAGCCAAAGTGATGTAATCTAACATTTTACACATAGTATTTAATACAGGGAGTTAGCTGTGGCCTTTTAAAACAACCTTTTGGCATATCATCTTTTCCCTCTTGCTGAAACCCAGCAAAATTTGAACACGGTAAAAGAACATGTCCATTTTCATATTCTAGACAGAACATAATCCTCTGGGAAGTGATGAATTCTACAGAAAACAACGTGTTTGGAAAAAAAATTATTATGTTAGCATTTCAATTTATAAATCTATTAACTGTGTCCTACTTCATTATTTTCAGACGAAGCTACACATCTCAATTCATCAAAGAATAGAGACAAACTGTCCTCTGGATCTCAGCTATGTAGCTGCATTTTAAATCCTCAAATCAATAAACAAAGCATTTTGTTGACTTCCTTCACAGTCATCATGATAAAACAGGAAATCAATGCTAACGAAAAATTGACAGTTAAAAAAAAAATTTAAAGCCTCAAAGGGAGCAGAAAAGCCTTAGTCAAACCTAAACAAGAAATGCTGAGGAGACATTCAGAACACAGAAAAAGCCCCATTGGGGTCAGACAAAACATCCCTCTAATCCAGATTCTCTCCAGTCAGCATTCATCTTTAATACTGAAAACAATTTTGTATCATCAGCAGATGCTGCCATCATCACTCTATTCACCACTTTTTTCAGATCATTTCTGAATACAGAGAACACAATGGGGAAAAAAGAATCCATTATACTCACTAATGGATGGAGACAAAACATGAAAAAACATATATTTAAGCTGGGGCAGAAAAAGAGATTTAAATAATCAGAAGAACTTCATTTTTAGGGACTGAGAATCAGATAGTGAAATGGCTGATTCAGTTAAGTCTACGTTTCACAGATACTACTTAAAATTGGGCCCAAAAGAACAGAAAACAAAGAGAGAGAGGGAAAGAAAGTAATTCCTTTCAAGTCACTGAAGGCCATAAATATTCTTAAAAAAAGAGAAATTTAAAAAATTCCACAATCCATCACTCAAACTCGCTCACCTCTGGGTGTTTACGCCTCATGTGTCGACTCATGGACGCCCTGGTAGAAACCTTTGTCCCACACAGCTGACAGCTCTGGGCTTCCACCTTGTCATGGGTGAGCTGGATGTGCTTCTGCAGCATGTAATCAGTGACATACTTCTTATCACACACTGAACACGTCCACTGTTTTCCTACTGGTGGCAGAGGGAAGGAAGGAAACCCAATGGATGAGCATCAGTTTGCCAACTCCTCAATGACAGCAACAATTTATGTTGCTAACAGCATGTGCAACATTACTCTCAAGACTGGCCAGTCTAAATCAAAATCAAGGAGGAAAGTTGGGGTATTTTTGTTGGATACTGTTTTTTAGAGGGTTTACCTGTATGAATCAGCTTGTGAGTCTCCATTGTATTTCTCTCACTGAATGTCTTGCCACAGAGCTCACACATGAAATCTTTGATTCCTGCATGAAAAACACATTTGGCACCTGTGAAAGCAGCCTAAAGGTATCTGGGACAATTCTGAGTTTTGTATTAGAAACATTAAAAAAGTGAAAATCACAGACAAAAAAAGGCATGTGCCCAGCTTCACCAGCTATTTTTATCTAAACCATTCCACTATATCCAGCAGAAAAGAAATCCCAGAGGAACTGATGTGGGAAGTAAAATTTTGGTTTGGGAAATCACAATCTGAACACTAACAAAACCAAAACTGTAGAGCTACCCTAGACCGAGAACCTTCAAGAAAAGCAAAACCTGAAACCAACTAAACTGCATTTATTTGCAGAACAAGCGGTCTTGGCTGAGGACAGGACAGAATCTCACTTTTCAAAGAGCAGAACATGCATATTTTATTAGTTCTTGTCATACTGTCTGACTGTTTTAGGTAAGAGTTCTCCTGGGAAACATTTAACTGATTCAGTGCAACTTTTGTCCATCTCTGGAGCCCTCACCTGTGTGTCTCTTGTAGTGCTTCAGCATGTTGACTTTCTGTGCAAATTTTCGGTGACATTCCTTGCACTCATATTCCTTGATCCCTTTGTGAAGCTTCATGTGGTGACGAAGGGCATGTTTTGTCTTCATTCCTGTGAGACAGAAGGCACAGGACACTCAGTCCATCACTCCCATCTTCAGGGGAGAACTGAGGCTCATGTTGTTAACCAACAGCTCTATTTTATGTTTGCTGCGAGTCCACAGTTCCATATTTTTAATTGTTTATGTAGCAATGCACTTCATCATTATTATTCTATTTCCAGGAAAAAAGCTCTGGAAAACATCTGAGTAATCACTGACAGAGAAACAAAATAGCAGGGACAAGCAGAGATAAAACATCCTTAGAGGTGTCAGACTTACTACTACCTTTCACTAAAATACCAGCTCAGATTTGTTCAAGTTATAACACGAGAAATTAAAAAAGCTGAAGTGACTTTGACTCTTAAGGCTCTTACAGAAAGAAATTACTCTATTTTAAGCCTGTAAACAGGCCAGAATGAAAAAATCAACTTTCATTCATTTTAGTGCTGTAAATCAGGCATTCCCCAAGCTGACAGAAACAAATGCTACTAAAATCAGTGTTGTCTTACAGGCCACGAAACCAAACCGTACAAAATTATGGCAGCTCATGTAACCATAATGCTCCTGTTAATACATTTTCTACCTCTCAAAAATGCAGGATTTACAGCACTGCCACTACTCTCAGCATGGAAGCTGTTTCAATTCAGATATTCACCTGCTACTCAGTGTCACAATGAATGGAAAACAAGGCATCAGACATACCTTTGCCACACTCTGCACACAAGTATTCTCGGATATTATCATGGACTCGCATATGTTCTTTTAACATGTCTTTTCTAGCAAATGATTTGCCACATTGCTCACAAGCATGACTTTTTACACCTTGAAAATAAATTTAAAAGACAACGTAAACAAAAAAAGATGTTAATGAGTAATGTGCATCTTCTAAAAATTGATTAAAGTGGTGAATTAGAGGGCTACACCCTCTATGCTGAAAACCTATGCTGAAAACCACACCTTTCATGGATATTGTAGCCCAAATTAAATTAGAAGACTTTGAAGAGAGAGGAAAGCTGGCTTTTTGTGTGCGAGAAAAAAGATAAAGCCTGAGGTAAGAGAAGACTGAATAGCATGAAATAGTAATGAGCTGTTAAAAATGATTTTGCAATAGCAGGTTTCAGCCTGTGTAATGGCGAGAAGGTAGCATGGATAAGAATTTGGAACAGAATACAGAATTAGGTGAATCCTGCAAACATATTAACTAGGAATTTGGACTGTTTGTCCAGATCAAATCTCTTCATTAATATTGCCTGCTTTAGAAAACTGGTTTACTCTAAAAGAATAAATATTATAGTTGTCTTATTGTAACGTAGAGTGAAAGTCCTCTAGGAAAAAAAAGGCACTGGCAACAGAAATTTCTCTTTAATATTGAAAATTATAAAGAAACACAACATTTTTACCTGTATGTATAAGCTTATGTCTTTCCAGATTTCCTATACTGTTAAAAATCCTCCCACAGATTTCACATGGATGGATGTATCTGAAACCAAAGAGACCAAAAACTGTGATTCTTCTCTTGAGGCAGAGGTGATTCTCAGGCATCTCTGTCACTAAGTATTTCATTAGCTAATACTAATTACTATAAAAGTTGCTTGAAGCACAAGTTTTTCTAAATGAGCCTTAAGAAACTCCCAAGCTGACTGCAAGCTTGGGGCAGTCTGGCATTGCTATACACTCAACTTTTTTCAAAAACATTTATTAAAATCGCTGATTTATACTTTTCAAAGCCCAAACTGAGGGGGCTGCTGACTCATCAATCCGTGTGAAGCCAATCACTAGCGACACACACTTCAAGCCTGCAATAAACATTTTAACCCCCATGTCACAGTTATTTTAGCACAGCCAAATTCCCTAAGAGCAGCCCAGGTGGCAGAGCCATTAGAACTCCAAGCAGACAGCTCTTCTCAGTAGAACAAGCCTTACTTCTGCACGTTGGGGTCGGGCAGGTTCTCCCTGTGGATGACCATGTGCGCGTGGTACGTGGCCTTCAAGGCGAAGCGCCGGTTGCAGATGCTGCAGCCGTAACCCTTCTCCTTGTGCACGTCCATGATGTGCTTCAGGTACTCCTTCCCTCTGCCAAAGGTCAGCTGGGGAATGAACCAATAGTGAATGCAAGGGGGAAAAAAGTCCTCGGGCACGGCGATGACCGGGTAACATCGAGCAGACATAAATATCCTGTGTACCACTAAAAATCCTGTGTGCCACTGGAGGGGAAATCTGTGACAGCTGGATTTAGGCCTGGAACTCTTTGGAGATTACAGGCACGCTGCTACAGGACATCAATTCACTCTTTTCTCTAGCTGGAGATGCTGTCTCCACTTGTGCATAAGAGGACCTCAAGTTGTTCGTGGACTGAGGAACAGCCACGTTTAACCTCCACCAGCTCACCTTGAGTACTGTGAGCAGTTCTGGTCACCACAGTATAGGGATGATATTAAACTGCTGGGGAATGTCCAAAGGAGAGCTACAAAGATGGTGAAGGGTCTGGAGGGGAAGCCTTGTGAGGAGCCACTGAGGGCACTTGGTCTGCTCAGCCTGGAGAAGAGGAGACTGAGGAGAGACCTCACTGCAGTCACAGCTTCCTTGTGAGGGGCAGAGGAGAGGTAGGCACTGATCTCTGCTCTGTGTGACAGTGACAAGACCTGAGGGAATGTCCTGAAGCTGTGTCAGGGCAGGTTTAGGTTGGATTTAGGAAAGGATTCTTCTCCCAGAGGGTGGCTGGGCACTGAACAGGCTCCTCAGGTTCTGGTCACTGCAGCAAGACAGAGCTCAAGGAGAGCTTGGACAATGCTCTCAGCACATGGAGGGGTTCTTGGGGCTGCACAGAGCCAGGAGCTGGACTCAGTGAGCCCTGAGGGTCCCTTCCAACTCAGCTTATTCTGAGACTCTGCAAAAGTGAGGACATCACAGATGGAGAAAATGTCTGCTGGGCTCTAGGGGCATGGTGAGCTCCTGCCTGCACGCTCAGCTTTGGCAGCAGCTCCTGAAGGGCTGGAATTTCCAGGCACTGCAGGGCAGTTACTCTGGATCAGCTCCTGGAAGTGCAAGTTATGACAGACAGGTGCTCCAGATTTGCACATCCATACGTGCTCCAGCATGCCAGGGTGAAGTGCCAGAATGACATGGTCTTTTGTTCCAATTCTGCAACTAGCCAGGGCATTTCTAACAGCACTGCACAGCTCAGTGAAGATGTACTCTGAGACCATTAAAAACAGATTTTTTAAGAGCTCAGAAGAGATTTCTCCAAGAGTTATCTGTATTTGTTCTCCCTTTGGCTGTTCAGTGTCCCCATCTCCTCACATCAAATCCCATTTTCTACAACTGTTTACTTCACAAACATTTGCAAGAGCACTAACAAACCCCTCAACTTCCAAAAAGATCTTTCTGATTTGAACGGCCCAACTGCTCTCACTTGGAAGCACACTATTTTATATAGTTTATGTACTCATGAAGGGTCAGGCATGAAAATCAGCACAGTGAAAGCAAGCACATGACAAAGTGCTGTGACACCACACCTCCACATGTTGACTCACACAAATTTAAAATCAGTTTCCACTTAAAAACAGCTCCCAGGTAAGAAAATTGAAATATTATTATCCCCAGGCCTTAAAATGAAGATAAAGTAAGAACTTTCACCACAGTAAGTGTAGGGTGTGAAATAAACTGATTTCCAGGGGACAATTCAGTGGCTGAAAAAACAAAAATCTCCTATCTCTCTTTAGTTTTGCTGTTCTCACTGACTGGTTTTGCACCCCACCTGCTCCAGAACAGTGTGCTCACCCAGGAAGGGCACAGAGTCCTTAAGGACCTGCTATTTCTTTAGAAAATGGCAAAAGCCACACAGTGAGAGGTTTAAAAATCCTTCCTCTCTCAGCTGACAACTGAGTGAACTACGCTCCAGCAGCACTTCCAACATCATCCTGTTAGTCAAGGAGAAGGGCAAGAATAAAGTCACACTGAACACAAGCAGCAGTCTCACTCCTCCAAACTGGATATCCACTAAAGAACCTTCTGACCTCATAAAAATATATCAATTTGTGGACTCTATCAATCAGAAATGCTGTAATCATTTTAAGTTGCACATAATTAAAGGGGAGTTCAAGATGTCAATGTCCCTTTATTGATCGTTCCTCCAGTTTTGCTGGTTTTCTTCCTCACACGAAAAAGTGAATGTATCTGTCTTTCTTTTTTTAAGTATTTATCATACTCCTTACAGGACAACACCTCAATTCTTATGGAACAGCCTCAGTTCACAGATTAGAGGTAAAAGCACTGCAGAAGACAGCCGACCTGACAACTGGCCTTCCCTTTGACAACCCTTAATGTTATTTAAAATTCTGAATGATTTATAGATACCTCCACTCCCTCCCCCATCCCAAAACAAGTTAATTTGAAAGTATTTAAAGCTACCTGGCACCTTTTGCAGCTATACTTGTGAGGCTCTGAATCTGCACTTTCATCAGAGTTGTCGTCGTTTTCCTCTGATGAGATTCCAATTTTACCAATGAACTCTTCCCTCTGGTGATCATCCATTAGGGCTATGTCCTGTGCAGAGTGGGAAAGAATATTTTGTTTTAATAGATTAAAACTTCTTCAAAGAGTAAGGCCTTGGTCACCTTTTGCTGCCATGAAAACTGCTTTGCATTAACTGCTGCAACACTATTTATTTAAAATATCCTCTTGCTTCATTCAATCCAGAGTTTTTCTGCCCAGGACCACATAAGGAATAACTTATTCAAACAACTAATATTAATTTTTTCTGCATATAAAAGGAACTTTAATGTAAAGAGATTCAGCTGGTGCAATATTATATCAATAAAAGCATCTTTAGGAGCACCGCTGAATGATACAATTCCCTTTTAATTTTATTTAATTCTTTACAATTCAGTGCTGGCAAAACAACCTGCCTTTTCTAATTGATTATTAACACAATACCTTAAAATGGACATGAATATGATCTCTCAACACATCCACCCTGAAAAATTTCCGTCCACAGATCTCACACGTGTATTTCTTGTCTCCATGTGTTAGAAGGTGTTTGTTCATATTGCTCCTACATGAAAACACCTACAAGGAAAAGAGAAGAAAGGAAAGAATTTTGGATCATGTCCAGCAGGGCTACAGTTCTTTGCAACATATCCAATGGAGAGCACAGAACACATTTACTGTCTTTTTTCATTCATTCTGGCCAAAAACATGCAGGAGCTCCTGTTAGCCAGCCAGCAGTCTGCCTCAAAACTGCTGGCATGGCAAAATCCAGGGGCACAGTTCCAAGCAACTGACTGAAACGAGCTATTCCTCAGGGGTGGACTTCCAAAAAAAGCTGCAGCAGAATTACATGGAGCAGAATTTGAAATATTTAGGGTGTCTTTTGAATCACAAATCTTCCATCTATCTCTAAAAAGATACAGCCACAAAGTCTACCTTGACTGACATGAAACATATCAAAAGCATTAAAACCAGAGGTCTACACAGCAACTTGAGAGTTCTTGAGTACTTTTTGCACCATGAAGCATTAAACATTTATAAAATCACAAGTTAAACCCACACTCCTTGTGACAACAGTGACTTAAGATCATGAGTGTTGAACATTCAAATGCAACCATGTCATGATTATGCCATGAATTCACTTTTATTCCCCATGGAAGAGGGTTCCCAACGCATATACTCTACTCCAGCTGCTTACAACCAGCCAGAAAAACTCCATTTTAAATAACATAAGCCATGAGATTCCACTGACACACACACAGTGGCCATGTGACACTCTACATTGTGCTGTATGTCCTGAGGAAAGTTCTGGCCAGAAATGCATTTTTGCTCTTGTCTTTGTGCTAACAGCTCCCACCCTCCATGGCCACAGCGGGCTTGGATAAATAATAGAGCTGCAGGTGTTTGAAGAGGAATCTCCAGACTGGACTCCACACCCTCCCTGGGCAGATGTTCCAGAGCTCTGCCACCCTCGGTCTGAGGAATTTCTTCCCCATGTTGAGGTGGAACTTGTGGTGTTTTATTTTACAGCCACTGCTCCTTGTGCCGTGGCTGAGCATCACCAAAAAGAGTGTGACACCATCCCCTGACACCCCTTGGAGATATTTGGATGGATGGATGGATTCCCTCAGCTTTCTCCTGTCTAGACTGAACTGCAGCACCACTGGAGCCACAATGCAGAGCCTCTCATGGCACACCTGGCACAAGCTCCTACCTTCCCACACACGGGGCACCCCGAGGGCTCCTTCTTGTAGCGAACCATGTTCTCCGTGCTGTGCTCAAAGTCTTCTCTCTTCACACGCCTCACCCCTTAACACAACAGTCCCCATCAAAAAAACAAAACAAGAAATAAACCATGGCTTTCCACTCCAGCCTGCAGGCCTTTTCAAGAGGAGACTGGGAAGAAGAGGGAAACACTGGGAAGGGCCTCAATGCAGGGTTTAATTGCTAACAAAAGTGTGACTTCTAAATTAAAAGTGTGTTTTAAGAGTATAGAAGCATTCTGCCGAAGTGATGTATTACAGCTTATTGGTTATTAAACCAACCGTGAAGTGTCTGAAAACACTTTTGTCAAAAACATTTTTGTCAACACGAGGAAACAGGCTGACCTAGTAGGCCTTGGCACTTCAATATGGTATCTGGACCAAAAATTCATCCTCACTAAGAAAGAGAGGAGAGGAAGTCTCTAAGGAGAGATGTAACCATCCAGCATCAGCTATAATGCTCAGAGAGGATTTCAGACTTCTTTCTCTGATACTTTCAGGAGAGCAGAGGGCTCCTGCTCTTCTGTGACAGCTAAGAATGAGACACTGCCAGCCCTTTGTCCTCTGGTTCATGACACAAAAAAGACAATCTGGCTGTTTTTCAAAAAAAAAAATCACTTTTGGTTTTATCATCTAACTCACTAACCGCATTCTAATACATGCTGAGCAATGTACCAACTTTTTCCAGTCCTTGACTACCTGTAATATCATTAGATGCTTGAGATTCTGAACAGTAAACTCTCATAATATCATTTTCATAAATCCTTAAGTGTTTCAAAGATAACATGCCACTGACACTGTATTTATATAATAGTCACTCTCAACTGTATGTGGCAAGTTAACTCTCTGCCTTCAGATTTTCAAGTTACCACATGAATTTTCAAAAAGAAAGAATATATATATATATAAGAATATATCTTTATTTTTTTTCTTTGCAAAGAAAAAAATATATAACTAAAATCAGCCGGTCTAAACTGCTGCATAATAAGCCATGCAGGATCCACATGACTGTTAATAGCTCTGGACCCAGTACTGTTATTTTTCATAAATTTCACATTTTGCTTTAACTTGAAACTCTGCATTAGATAACTGATAATAAATAAAAGACAGCCACCATCCAGAAGAATCTAATGCACACTATCATTTCCTTAACCTGCCCACCTCCACTGCTGTTTCAAGAGAAATAATTAGGTTGATCTGCAGTAAATTTACCTTCCAAGTGCCGCCTTTGATGGTCCAGCATGACATCCTTCCTGTAAAACATCTTATTGCAGATCTCACATGCAAACTTCTTATCTCCGTGCTTTTTCTTGTGTTTTGAAAGGTTGCTGTTTGTAGAGAAGAATCTGAAACACATCTCACACTGGAATGTCTTGTCATCTGTAAGAAAGAGAAACCATGCAGCTCTTTACAGCTGAAAACAGGTTTTGTATGTTTGTGAGACAGGTGGTTCTTCTGTTGGATCTGGGTTTTAAACATGTAAACCATGCTCTAAGGGCAATTACCTGGGTGATTCTGGACTGACCATTATTGTGGGGCTATAAAAGTAAACCAGGATGTCACTTTCTGAGCATAAGATCACAGCATAAATAATATGAATAACCACAAAGGATGGCTATGGGAGAAAAGGACAAGTTGGAGTGAAACTAAGAAAAAAACATTTAGATACTACTGCAAGTATAAAGCTGGAGAAAGCTGAAGAAAACTGTAATCCTTGAAAACTGCAAATTACTACTAATACTGGTCCTGTTTCCAGTTTCTCTTTTTCAGAGGAGTGAGGTGGAACTTAGTTTCAGGGGAAAAAATTTAAACAGAGATGATGACACATTATCTGTAAACAAAGGAAACACGAGTGAGGATATTACACAGGTGAGCAGGAGATACCAAAAAAACCCCAATTCCTAAGTGGATGTGTTGCTCTACAGATTATTGGTTACACTTCTCTTATCAAAAAAACCCCAGGTTGCTTCTTGTGATGATGACAAAAACCTAAATCCCTACTCCCCTTCTGTAGTTTATCTGCTGAGATGGATTTGGGGACATCTTCCCAGAATGGAGCAGAGATGGCAGAGGAACAGTTATCCATTCTCACCTGTCCTGCAGTTGTGGAATTCCAATGCACTCTCTATCCGAAAGGCCTTTTCACACGTGGTGCACTTGTATCTGTACTCACTGTCCACCTGAGGAGCACAAACAAGCAAAGCCAAGTCACATCTGACAGACAAATTCTAAACCTCAAATACCTCTTCTGTTTTCTGTCCTTTGCCATTTCTATTCTTTCAAAAGGGCATTTAACTACACAGCAGTGCAAAATTCTGATGCTCTATCATCCTGCCCTCTGAGCTATAAAAAAACCCCAAAGACTATGCTCCTGTGTGGATGTGGCAGTCTCCCTGATACTCCCCTGGTCCAACACAGACACAGAATGTTTGAGAAGCAAGATGTGATCTGACTCATCTTCCAGAAGAGGTGGTAGCAATCTGAGAGTTAAGGATCCTGGTGCCAAGCAACAATGGAAATTTTCACTAATAAGGTGCCAATACAGGTGTGTTTAATATTTCTATGGCAGCAGCATCAAAAGGTAGAGCTCACACATTAAAGGAGTGATTGGTGGTGAGAAATTAAAAAGGACAAGCAAACAAGAATGGAACAACCCTATTTAGCAGCATAACTCAAGTCAGGTCTCACCTCTGTCTCATGCAGGTCCAGCTAATTCCAGCTTGTCTTGCTGGAAGTGATGCCTGAAAGCAATTTTCTACAGGGAAAGGGCTAGCACATGCACAGAAGTACTTTTCAAATTCATCAGTGATTCTAAGATAACTCTCTGTGCTTTCTCACTCACATGGGATACCTGCTCACATGGAGCTGCCCAGCTCACACCTGGAATCTCACTGTGCCTTTCCACATAAACCCTGCAAGAGCCTGAGAGCCCCTTCCACTCACTTCATTCCTGCTGTGCTTGTATGAAACGTGCTGCTTCAAGCTCTCCTTCCTGCTGAACAGCTTTGCACATTCCTCACATTTAAACAGTTTGTCACCTGAGGGGATCAATCAAGATGAAAGGGAAGTAGTCAGTGATTGATAAAAACCAACTCCAGGCAAGACAGGGGAAACCAAAGCACATGCAACTGCAAACAAACAGGCTAGGAGGAAAAATTTAGTAATTCAGGAGGCTTTAACCATTTAACCATTTTGGTTTAGTTTCCCCACCCTTTTTCAGTGATGATTTTTTCATGCAGCTCTTGGAATAGGACACTGATCCCTGGAACTGCAGATCACAGGTGGGAAAACACTCACCTGACATTTACACAGCTATGTTATCCACGTGCTGTGAAAGTGAGGGTGACATTTATGCATATATTTAAAGGCAATAAAAAGCTTTGGAAAAAACATCACATCCTTGCCCTCATTTAAAAGTTGTATCTAATTCAAATTTTAAATACTTTTAACTTCAATTTTCCACTATTATCTTTTCATGCTTTGGTCTGAAAAACTGAAATAGTTTCCTAGAGAGAGTTATAAGAAAGAAAAAAGCAAAACCAGCTCTCTTATAAATACTATCCCAATATCTCAATACCTCAAACGAGCTCTGCTGTTTAACTCAAAGGTGGAAGCAAGACACAAAATCAATGCCCAGGCAAGGGAAAAGCCAACCCACCGTGAGAACGGATGTGCCTGCTGAGGTTGCTGCTGTTCTGGAAGATCTTACTGCAGATGCTGCACTGATAGACCCTCTTGTGCTCCCCCAGCTGCTTTATGAGCTTCCGCCGAATCCCGTGTCTACTGGAGAGAATTAAACTTCTTTTGAGGGACATGGTGTTTTGGTGATGAGCAAACCTACTGGATTAGAGAGAAAGGCAGCGACTGAAAGCTATCCCACAGGTTGCAACAGAGTTCCACCAGCTGGCAAAAGCTAGAGGAGTGATAAACTCAGCTCCTGGCAGGAGGGAGGGGGCCTGGATGGAGCTTCTGCAGCTCCAAGGTCACCCTCTGGAAGCTGCAGATGTCACTCACTCCGAATTTTCTTCACCCAGAACCAACGAGGCAAAAGGCAGCAGCAGAGATTCTCTTTGCAGGCCCCTCAGAGGAACAGAAAGGATCTGTTCTGCTCAGAAAACATCAGCACTATCTCAGCTTAGGAAGCTTGGCAGCCCCCACAAAAGAAATGTATTTGGGCAGAGGGCAGCAGGGTGCCAAGCAGCACTGTGCCATTTCCCAGCACAATCACCTGCTGAAATGCCTTTTTGATGGCCCTGTGTCTGTTAAAGACTTCAATATATACCATTACCAGCTAATTCATAAAAATTGAGTGCTCTATTATACAAAAAAAATTAAAATTCAAAAGGCCAATTTTACCAAGACAAAAAGACATGAAAGAATCTGAATTAATCACATGATACTTAAGAGTTTCCCTGAGGTTCTGTTATACTGAAGTTTCCCCCTCCTACTGCTCCAAATCTGGACTATCACATGCAAAATCAACATGAAGTCATTCATGAGCTAAGATGACAAGCAAGACTGAATAACAATAATAATGATTAACATATTCTGAAAGAAAAAAATCTCTTTGCCTGTCTTATCACTAGCATTCAATGGCAGTAAATTTCACCTTGCAGCTGCAGGAGGCTTTTGGAAACATACTGAATAAAAGCAATAATATGATGAAAAAAGAAATTTTCATTTATGTTATGCTCCAAATTCCTACCAGTGTACAAGTAGCACTCAAAATCACCTCTTGAAGCAGCAGCAGCAGCATCACACAATTTCATGCTGATCAAAAAGAGCATCTGTGGGCCCAGAAGTTGAGCAGAACTGTTGCATGCTACATCCATCATCTTAGCTACAACTAAGAGGAAATTCTGCATCCCAGAACACTTACTTTGTCACTGAACTGATGCTGTTTGTGGTGCTGGGCATCTTTCCTAAAACCAGATCCATAATCCTCTCTTCTGGAGCTGGAGGCAGGGCCACCTCCTCTGGAGGGACCTCAGTGACAGCATCAGCCACACGTTCCACTGCACACACACCAAAGAAATAAATACAGCAGTAATGTGGACAGATGGAAGTAAAACCTCAAATGCAGAATTTGTAATAAGATGAGGCACTGGACAAATCAATTGTCCACTAACACACTGAAAGAATCATAGAACAGTGAGGGTTGGAAGGGACTCTTAAAAATCTAATCCAAACCCTTGCCAGAAGCAGGGACATCTCAACTTTTTCTAATTTCTTACCTTTCCAAGTTATTACTGAAGGGTCAGTTGACCAAGCACCATGAAATTTCCTATTAGAACATCCCTTCAAGGAACGTAAAGCCCTTTCTAAACTAAATTGGAGGTAGAGAGAGAAAGATTTGTCCTCTTGAGAGGAAGGATGCTTCCTCTCCTGTTCCTCCTTGCAGTTCTCATAACCACTACCCTGTGTTTCTCTGGGGCTCTCTACAAACCAACACAATAGAATGCAGGTGACTGAGGGTAGCTGCTGCTTTCTAGGCCTTCAGAAATAACTAACAAAACTTGTAAACTGGCAGCTTTAATGATCTAAGTAAACTCCATGTTGTCTCTCTTCAGTTTTTTAGGCCTTTCTGCACAGGCATTATCACAGATGTAGAAGCAGATACATTCCTTAGCATTTTCCACATTTCTGTTTTACCTGCAGAATCTTTCTCTTCATCAATGACAAGAGGTGTTTCTACTTTTGCTGTTTTGGCTTTCCTTCCCCTCCTGGCCTTTCTCCTTGAGTCTGTGCTGGCACTGGCTGCATCACTTGCCACTGGTTGATCTGCTGGCACAGCCTCTGCTGCTTTCTCTCCTTTCTCAGCATCATTTTGGCTGCTTGGGGGGGCACCTTTGGCTTGTTCCAGGTGACTCAGCAAGTGCTCTGGGTGGATAGGGAAAAAGAGGAGAGTAAGGAAGAAATTATCCTGAAAACACTCAAATGGAACTAGCTGAAGCTCATCTGTCAGGTCCATTCCACACTGCAGAGACTTAATTCATATTATTCCAAAAGCAGTCACGATACCTTCATAAATCAAAGCCTACAGTTTATTCAACAGTCACAAGAACTCAATTTTTAAGGAGATTTGCTGATATCACAGTAAAAAGTTTGTGTTTCTAATAATGGATACGTTTTTCCAAATGCCCAAGTTATTTACTGACCTAAGTCCCCCTTTCAAAAATGATTCATCAAATAGCCAAAGCTTCTAAATAATTTTAAGTTCTGAAAAGTGCATAAAATAGCTGCAAATAAAATGCAGAAAAAAAATATGTACTTCATTACCCTTACTAAATCTGTGCCATAAATACCAGATGGACAATATCACAAAGTATAACCTGGCATCACTGACCTTTACACTGCTCATGCAGCTCCCTAGCTTTGATTTTCCTGACAGTCACATCATCTTCTAGATCAAGTTTTATTTCCTCTAGAGTCAATATTACAGTTGTCTGTCCAGAGACTGAACACTGCCATGGTCAAAACATCCAAAACATCCTTGTTCTACCTTCCCTACTACTGCTTTCCTTAAAGGAACACAAAATTTAAAACTTTTATCTTACTGCACCATGGATGGTGCACGGCTTCACAGCCGTGGAAGAGCAGAATTCTGCTGATGGTTCTCAGTGCTCTCCCATGAATTTCTAGCACTTCCTACCTGTCAGCAGCTGGGGCTCTTGGAAAGCAGATGAACACACTTTACAGGTCCACTGGCTGGGTTTTGCTTCTGCTGTTCCACTGCCTTCTGGAGTGTTCACTAAATCACAACAAGAAATACTGAAAGGCTTTGAAAATGGGAAGGTGGTAAACCCCTGTAGCTTTGTTCATCTTGCAGTAACTCCCTGAGTATCACAAGGTGCAATTTAGGCAGCAAGAGGCCCCTGGGGGCAGCCAGGACCATTTCAGGATTCTCCAAACACGAAGAGTTGAACTATCAGAAGATATAAATGATGCCAGGAGAGAGAGTAACAGTTCCCTAGCAAAATCCTGAGGGCTCCTTTATCACTTTCTAAAGAACTGTATTCATAAAAGGCGTGACATAAAGCAAATTTTAGCATGTTTAAAACCAGAGTTACCAGTCTTCTTCTAGGTCAGCTGAGGACAGAGGCAGGAGAAACCTCCTTGCTCTCTGTGAAGGGCATTGCAGAGTAAGAACACTTAGATTAATGGAAGTAAGGGTGAGGACAATGAAAACCCGGATTTGAGCAGTTTCATTAATTAGATGTGCTATGAAAACACATTGACTTAAGAAACATAAAGAAAATGAGAAATTAGGGAAAAAATGAAAACTGGAATAAAAATAAAAGATAAAAAGAGTTACTCTGTTCACAGTCCTTTGTATTTCAGTCCTTAGATGATACATTGAATTTGTCAAGAAGACCTGATAAATCTGATTCAGAGATTTTCTTGGCACACAAAAAGCTGAATATCTCACTGTGTACAAGACTCCTGCTGCAGAGAAGGAGGATGACATTGAAGTCAGGGTAAGTGAATGGCAGCACAGGGAATTTGAATTGTGCCTCAGTTTCTGCCACAGATTTCCTCGATGGTCATTACATGTCAGCTCATTTCTCTCTGCCTGAGGACCCCATCTGTAAAGGGACAGTAAAATTCTTCCCTCTTTTCAGTGCTGGCTCTTAAACCAAAATAAAGGATTCTCTGAGGCAGAGGCTGTGCCCTGCTACAAGATACATTCAACCCTCTGCACTACAGAGGTGTGATCTCATCCATGCTGCAATAAATAAATAAATAAGAAATTACTTGGCAAAACAGCAACAAAAATTCCTTCTTCACAGGCTACATAAAGGAAACCAAGATTCTGTGTAAATTAATTGTGCCTGACTCTGCTCTTCCCTTGCCCCTTAGTTGCTCCTTGCACTGTTTTGTCAGGAAGAGTCAGGTCTTTTTTAAGTTCCCACTTCCTCAGGTTTCCAAAGCAGCTGCAGGGCAACCTGACTGAGAACCACAGATCTGACAGCTGGCAACTGCTTGGTATGGCTTGAGACAAACAGAATCAAAAGGAGAAAATTTTGTTTTGGAAGCACTAAAACACGACATCAGTGGGAACACCTCAAAATCTAAAAGGCAGCATTTTGTTTCTGCTGAAGTTGGACTTTCGGGCAGTGGGGTGAAGGGTGTAGGAGGAGCTGTTCCAATTCTTCATTTTACCTCTGGAAAAATCAATAATGCCAAACTGAAAGACAACTCCCTAAGCAACTTCAGTTTAGCTATGACAGAACCCAAGCTAACAAATGGATCCTCTGATCAACTTCTCTGTACATGTCTGCAACAACTCCCCTCCTTTCCCCCGGGCTAGTCGTACTATTAATAAGCAAAGTTTAGGAAAATAACCTCGCAAAGAACAGACCTAGAATGGTTTTCTTTTGATCTTGTGTATTCTGAGTGTACTTTCTGAAATTTGTGTTAAGTGGGTTCTTAATTTCACTGCTCCACTTAGCAGAGACTGGTTGTAGGGAGCACTAATTTGTAATGAATCTTTGGGACAGAGTTCCTATGTCACTACCAGGTATTTCCTCAGCCAGATATTCTTTGCCAAGAGGATATGTATTACTTGTAACTTTATTTAAATTTGAATTTCTGTAATTTAGAACAGTCTGAACTCTAATAGTGGCATATCCCGTGATATTATTGTAATTTGAGGATGGCCAGTGTTCTTGTTATTTCCAAACATTTGAAATGTCTTCTTCTAGCACATGGCCTGATCATCTGAATTCCTGCACTTTACACAGGCAGAATGAAGATTTTCTTGGGGATTGCCCCCACCCCAACACTAACCAGCTCCAAAGTCAGGAGCACTTGTGGTTTTCATGAAAATAATCTGCCTAAAAGTCTACTTGCCCCTCTGTCACTTTTTAACCTGTGTATCTACTTTAAGCACTGTGCCCATGAAAACGTAAAGAAAAAAACAGGCTTTCAAATCCTCTCTAAATTAGTATTTGCCAAAAGTTATATATCCATAGTACACGTGTAGGAGTGTTACACCTAACAGCTCTGCAGACCTGTATCTGTCCTCTATCTCCCTTAAGAGCACTGTAATTTTGCATACCTGCTGGATCAGCTGCTAGTATGCTGGATTTCTTGTTTTTTTTATGGGGTAAGACAGCAGATGAAGGTTTTGAAGAGACCTTATTATTCCCCTCTTTATCAGATTCCATTGCCACCAAGGAGGTATCTGTGAAGAGGAAAAAGAGTTCATCTTCTTTACTGTCCAGACCCTTTGACTCTTGCTCTGTGCTGAGGGCAGTAACCATAGTCAGAAAGTTTTATTCTGTAACAGGCCTGCAAATAAATTCTCATGTAAAATTTTAACCAGAGCATTCTTAAAGCTGAATCTCACCCACTGTGCCTTAAATATTCTGGAGTGTACCGTGAAGTGCTGAACAGAGAGAGCAGGGCATACTTCAACAGTATTTTTAAATACCCATAACCCCACAAAAACACATGAACAGGTTAAACTAAAGAGGGAAAAAATTAAACCTCTCAGTTAATGCCAACTGGAAACATCTCAGAGTTCAGAAACATGTCAACTGCATTGATTCAGCTGTAGCACTTGAGACTCTGCTTAGGATCAAGGGCAGCCATAAAGCTGATACTGGTGGCAATGGCCTCTCCCCAGATTTGTCACCCCAAATTATACCCAGCATAGCAGTAATAACATCCAGGGAGTACTCCCAGCTCAAGAGCAGAAAGAAAACGCCCTTGCAATGCTAAAGGATCTTGCCTTTCAGCTGTAGAAATGGAAAAGTAGGAGAAAACAAAAGGGGAAACACTGGAATTTGTGGCAATTCTAATTCAGATTCTAAACTATTTGCTGCCTTTCTTTCCAAAGCACAGCCACATGGATCTTACATTAGTGGGTCTCATATGAAGCTGCATAAGAAAGATCTAGTTTATTAGAACTGTGTAACAGTTCTATGCAAACCAAACCATTTTCACTGCAACTGAAGAATGGCTTCTTTAGCAAATCTGCATACAGATTTCTCTGATAATTGAGCTCCTTTGCTGTTCTACCCAGAAATGCTTTTGATACAACCACCAAATCTTTAGTTAAGGACTATTCATCCAGTTTGTCCACTCTGAAGAGGCTGAACCATTAACTAGGCCACCTGTTTTAAAAAACCTGGCTGTATCATGGTGAAGAATCTACACTTTCCTCTTGCAGGGCACCCACGTGTGCAGACTGGCCTGACTCTGCAGGATAAGAGCCTACTGCATAAACAGCACTGACAACTCCAACAGCCAGGGACTATCAGTCCCTGCCAGCACTGGGCCCTTAGGAAGGAAGAAAGGCCCCCACACATACCATTGGCAACACTAGTGACCTGCTTCAGCACTGGCTTTTCCATTTTTTTGGCGTAAAAAGCTGCATACCACACTCGCAGCTCAGTTCCCGGGGGGATGTCCTGGCAGGTGGTGAAGTAAATGTCATTGTCATGCTGGAAGGCAGTTAAGTTTTGATGCTCATACTCGGTGGCTGGACGCACCATCATCATCCAGTTGCAATCATCTTCGTTTGTGGTGTCAAAATACACCAGGGGCCCTTCCTTCTGGAACACCTGCCAAGCAAAATGTGCACAAAATAAAAACCCAGAGAAGTGAAACAAAGGTAAGGAAAAAAAATATTATTTTCTGCTTTTGCAGTGGTTTCTTTTCAATGGACGTCAGGGACGAAATAAGCTTCAAGTCTTGCATCAAGGCATCTTTCACTTAATCACACCTTCAGATGAAATAGAAAACCAGGAGCAAGATGGGAACAAACTGAACAAAATCATCCCAAGTGTTCTTTCTACAGCCACCAGATTCTCAAAAATTTACTTCATACATGACTGGAAGGGTATCCAAGCAGCCATCAGTCCAAGGCACATTTCTAAATCTTTCTACTTCTGAGTTAGGTATTAGTGGAAACTAAGACTGAATTCCATTCTTAATGTGCATTTTTCCTACCAAAACTTGTCAAGAGAGGAATAAAACAAATGCAAGACAGAAAAAAACCCCACTAATTCTGCATGTTCCATAAACCTAATGCATATGTGGTTCATTAGGCAAATCCAATCAAATTGAAGAGACTCATTAAAAGAACTGAGTTTCTAGTTTGGTTCTTCTGTTCCTTGCCCAGAGAATGTTTGTTTAGCTCATCTCTTACAGGGCACACCTAAAAGATGTTCCAAATAATCCTCCTTCACATATCTTTGTTTCCATAGTGTTAGACAGCATTAATCCATCACAGGTAAAACTGACTCCTTGCTTTTTATTGCTTTACAAATCCTGTGTCTTACCTTCAGGGGAAAAACTGATTCTTCCTCCAGCTTGAGAACTCTCTTGGATTCAAAGGGGCCAAACTGGGTACGTTTCACCAGCTGAGTCAGAGCAAACACTCCCTCAGTCCCATCCTCCAGCTGTCTTATCTCCAAATTAGAAGGCAGAGATGATCTAAAAATTTAAGAGAGAATTGAGGAAAAAAAAAAAATCACAGAACTGATTAGGTTGGAAAAGACTTCTGAGATCATCAAGTTCAACCTTTGGCTAAACACCACCTCACCAGTAACAGTTATGCACTGCAGGAACCCATGGAAGAAAGAAGTCAGCATTAAACACAAGTGTTTCTGTGCTCCCAGCCTCTCTCTTTTCCCAAACAAGCTTCTGAGAAGAACTACATGTAGTAAATACTGTTACTACATATAATACACAGAGAATATCTTCCCAAAAATTCGCGTGGCTGGCCCCACTGTATTGGTTTTACAGGCCAAATGCAATTCTGTTTTTTCAGGTCTGTGCTAACAGATGAAAAGCTAAAAATAATCAGACAGGCTACTGGCTGCCCTGTAGAGGTTGACACTGGCTGAACTGCTTTACTGCCTAGATAAACACAAAAAGATTGCAATCATAGTGATAACAAAATGAACTGAAAAAAAAACCCAACAACTTTTAGTTTGAAGCATACAATAAGCAGCACTAGAGACAGAGAAGTTCATGAGATGTTTCTCAACACTTTGTTTCTAACCGAAAAGCATCCATTTAATCTTTTCAGTAAGACAGAGAGAACAACAAACGTGGTTAAGCAAGCAGACTGTTTTTAAAAGATTCATATCCAGTTTGTGGTTAAACTTGCCCTCAACCTCAGATAACTCACTTTCAGCTATAGTTCCCCAGAGGTAGAGGCTGCAATTAAATTTCTTCTTTCCTTTTCTTATCTAAACTCATTTCAGCTGAAAAGTCTTCAGGAAAATAAATACATTTATCTGTAAAAGAGTCAATTTTAAATTCTACTCTCAAGCCTACAGTCCAGCAGCCCAGACTTCCACGAGGGAAAACTCAGCATTTGCACGTCAAAAGGAGATTGAAAACCAGTGTATGCACCATATTTGCAAACATTTTCAGTTGGAACATCTGGACATTGAAGTGCAAGTTAAAAAACAGAAAAAAAAGGTAGGAAATAGTTTGTCACTGAATGTGTGTAGTACAGGCTGGAGACTTACTGCACTGCCTATTTTTTCTACTTAATAACAGCACCTCCCTCACCAGCTTCAATTATTCCAAAGAGTATTTTTAAATTACCAAGCACTTGTAGTGTTAGGGCTGTTAACCATTAACAGCTGCTGGAGGGGATCATCCAGGGCAGGTTTCCAGGCACAGGAAGGCAGTGCCTGGCACGAAGTGCAGGGAAATTCCTCTTCTGGGAAGGCCCAGAAAAGTAGGGACAGCTCCTGCACAGGTGCAGCCAGTGTACTCAGTGGGACACCAAGAGCATCCTGCCCTGGCCATGGGGTGGTGGCACCCACATGGCAGATCCAGCACATCAATATTTGTTACAAAATGATGCTGGGAATACACAGCACGGCCTACACAGCCAGGATGTGCCAGACTTGCTGCCCACGGGCCTGTTTTGTGCCTGTGACTTCCCAAGAAGAAATATGGAAGCCCTGCACACATTACACAAGACATGAAGCCATCTGAACACTTCCCTTTTTGGATCTGTACTACACCTTCACAATGGTTGCTTCTTTTCCTTAGCTTTGCATTCTACACTTCAATATGAATTTTGCTGACAGTGCCTGATTGTTTTCCCTGTAAAAATCACTACTCAGTGTTGTTTTCTCCCAGCTAGATTGAATCTATTTGTTTCTTTTGGCAAACACGAGTGTTTCTGCTGCACTGTCACAGATTTGCTGACAGAACTATTACCCCTAATCGTTTGCAAAGACCCACAATAATGAAAACAACTTGTTTTTCTTCTAAGTGGATGAATGACAGAGTTCATACACATGAATGAGAAATCCTCACACACTTCTCTGAAATGAATCCAGTGTATCTAAGGGGGATAAAAGTGGCAGGTACTCAACCACGACAGGAGTCATCACCCCATCTGGCACCACCTGACTTCTTGCCAGAAACCTCAGCAAAGAAACCGAGTCCTGATGAGCAGCAAGTTATTTTTTTGGCTTCAATTCAGTGCAGCACTTAAGTGTGTTCATCAATTTTTCTATTTAATCAAGGCCATGTGCTTTCCATAGATTATTGTCATCCTCTGGGACTTCGGTTTCCAGCTGTCAGTGTGACATCCACTGAACAGCAAATATGCTTTAAAGGACTAACATGGGCGTTGGGTTATTCAGGAGCAACACAAACATTTCTTACCTTGCCCTGCTCAATACAAAGGAGTCTTTGACTGTCACCACTGGGCCCAGCTCAGGACACTCTGAATCATGGTACTGCCCACAGTCCTCACACCCTGCAAGGAACCAGACAGAAAAGGTTGGTGGAAAACACTTTTGTAAGACAGTTTCCTCCCTCTTTCAAGAGAAACCCAGCACCAAGCAAAATACATATGTAAAGAGGCAGATGTTTATTTGTGTGCTTAAAAGAACATAAATAATTGAACACCAAGTTGATAGCTGGCACCTGAATAGGTGAGATAACACACACACTGTGATCAGTACCATCAGAAGACAATTGTTTAAATTCTCTCTCAAAGGAAAATAAATGCCTTACACCCACAGTAAATATTCTGCTTAAAGATGGCATTATTCTTCAGATAAAGTGCTGCAACACGTAGCAGCTAAAGAAAACCACATCTCTGCCTTCCCCAGGAGCTGGGCTGTTATGAACAGCTTGGGTAGTGTGGTGCTTCCAGTGACACGAGTCACAAACCCAGAAGCAGCAGAGAACTGGCACAGGGCTCAGCAGGGCACCAGCATGTCCTGGGAGCCCAGCTGTGCCTGGCCACACACACTTCTCACCCACAGGGCAGGACAGACACCTCCAAGGTACCTCCTGGTGCCTTTCCAGACAAGTCAGCTGGCTGCACAACACACTCTGGCCACCTCATTCACTGTCAGCCTAGCTAAATTAACTTTTAATTTAAGTGGCTGTAAATTACCCAGAACCGAGTGGTTCCTAAGAAACAATTTTCAGACCAGGATAATTTGAGGCTTTCTAAAATAAGCTAACCTAACAGGATACCAAATGCTTATACACTGCTTCACTGTGAAAAAAATAGCTGTCAAAGTGCCCTGCCTGGTCAGCTGCTGACACAGCTTCAGGAGAGATCATCACACACGGGTTATATTGCTGTGGTGCCTTTTGCATCTCAGCTCCACGCTTACAAGGGCAAGTCAGGAAACACCAGAAAAGGTGCAAAGTAGAGGGTCATTACATCGTTTCTTTTGGGAAGACATGACAAAAGCCAAGTCATTCCAAGGTATATCCCCTCTGGCAAAGCTATTCTGTGCTCCTAACTGGAGGCCTCTCCCACCCCCCCAGGTATTCGTCCCAGTGAACAAAAGGACTTCTAAATCAAGGATTCCGAACTGTTTCACGTTTCTTCTGGCAACAATACCAGCTTAGCAGTTAAAAAATACATACATTTGACAAACAGCATTTCTGGCTGGTGCAATCCCCAGGCCTGGTCACTGCCTCCTGTCTAGCTGTTTGTGCTGCCTTCTGGTGAGCCAAGGAATGAAACAACTATTCACACTATTTTTCAGCAGAAGGAATTTCCCAGCCTGGCTTGCTGTACAGCACCACAGAGTTATTGTACCAGAGGAAAGGATCCATGAGCAAGTGCTACTCAAAGAGCACCAGCACCAAAGCTCAGCCTACAGCTGTCCTGTTTACTGTCCCACCATTCCCGTGCTCCAGGTGTGCCTGTAGGCCAGGCTGCCCTTACTGAAATAATCTGGGCTAATAGCAGATTTCCTAAACCAGAGAGGGTGGAGGATCCACATAGGAATGTGTAAACCAGACTGCTGAAAAGAAATGGACATCCAAAAGAGGGTTGTCATAAGCTAGGGGACAGGAAGGAATAGCCTGAGTAACAGCTTCTCCAACAGGCTTTGCTGTGGTAAGAAAAAATCACTTTGTCATTTTCCTTATCTCCTGACTGCATCAGGGCACTCTTCACCTCTGCAAAGATAAGCCTCTGAAAGGTGCAGACAGCACTGCCCACAACTACAGGCAAGAATAAGCAACACATTCCTCTCACTCCTTTGCCAAGGAATATGACAATGGCATTATGTGGCACAGCTCCTTATCCAAGGCATGCCCTACAGCAGCCATTCCACAAAGCTGTTACACTTACCATATGTGACACTTTCAAGAAATTACAACCCCAGGAGAAACACAAAAACAAGCATGGGAATAATCATAAAATACGCCAGAGACTATATTCACAGACTTATTAAAAAAAAATTCCAAAATTCTCCTGTCTATGAAATACATATTCGAGGATGTTTATTAATGGGAGTGCACAGTGTCATTTACAGCAGCTCACTTTTTCAGAACATAAGCAGTCCCTATGTCGCATGGGAAAAACTAATTGCAGAGAGCACAAGAAATAGCACAAGACATTCAGTGACCACAGCCCCCACTGGAAGGGAGAAAATCATGTTGCATGACACCTTCCATCTAATTAGGAGTGGCATCACAACCCCATTCTTTCTGCTGTCCACCAGAATCTTTTTATGAAGGGGAAGATAAGGTAACCACTATTGGTATCTGCATCCCAGTAGAAATGGAAACAGTCAACACTATTTTTGAAGAAATCTGGTGGAGGGAGAAAATTGAACTTTCTGACAGTTGCCATAAATACAGCTGTGGATCCAAAAAGCAAGGATGTGCTCCATTCTGCTCTGCCCTGACTGAATCCACAATATCTGGGCCCTCTCTGCTCACACAAGGACTCTACATCCTTTAACTCTTCTCCACCTGACACCAGGTCCTGCATGTCCAGGCTGGTAATGAAGGGAAGGATTAATGTGGGACCCAGCACTGCTGGAGCCTCTCCTCACCCACCACCACCCCAGGAGCCTGGATCCAAGGCCTGGCACTCAGGGTTATACAGAGGGCACAGCAAGAAGCACAGGCAGTGAATGCCACGAGTGACACTGGCCAGGGCAGTTGGTGCATCTCAAACCGGGCTTTTTCTGAAAGAATTACGAGTCTGCCTGCCCCTGCTGGGGAGGTGCAGATCCCCAAGTCAGGCCAGAGGTCAGAGTTATCCCCAGACAGCCCTGGCTGCTAGAGCTGGTTGTATAAACAAACGGCTTACATGAGTGTCAGACCTTCAATCTCACTCACTTCAGCCATGAAAAAGCTGGGCTGCTAACTCACATTCAGAGGTTTCATTGTGTGTTTGCCAACAGCGTCAGAATGTGTATGCTTAAATTACACAACCTCCTCTCTATTCATCCATTAGCTGTTTGAGCCTCCTTTACATAAAGCAATTTTTCTAAATAAAATCTTAAGTCTGGTTTAGTCTTTCATTTCAAGCATTCTGAGTAGACAAGTCACAGAGCATGAGAGTTAGATAATTTTCCTAATACTTACAAATAAATATAATCTCCTCATTGCCATCTTCAGCCATTTTTTAAAACCTGCCAAAATACAAAAGATGAAGTTAGTTCTGAATTGACTTANACAAATAAATATAATCTCCTCATTGCCATCTTCAGCCATTTTTTAAAACCTGCCAAAATACAAAAGATGAAGTTAGTTCTGAATTGACTTACTTTGTGAAGGAATGATGCTGACTGACCCAGAGCCCACCCAAGGTCCTTGCAGGAGTATAAGTGGAAAATTAAAAAAAAAAATCAAAGTTGTTAAAAAGCTCCAGAGACTGCTGTATCATTACATGTGCTGCAGACATCACTACCAAGGAAGCCTTAATGTCTGTGGGTTCTCAGGCATTTCTCTGTGAGGAAATGCTGTCTCCTGCTGTTCCTCATCTCTGACAAACTTCCAGCCACTCCTGCATCCCCTGCTAAAATGCTCCCATGGAGCCTCAGAACATGCAGGGCCAGAAGATAATCCAGGTCAGCAGCAAACACTGCAGGAACAAGGCCGAGTGCAACATTTTATTGAACTGTAGCTTTAAAAAATTATCTCAGAAAGGCCAATGACCTATTTAATAATTACAGTAATCTTAAAAACTTAAAAACTGCAGATACAGACACAGATCTCTTCCAGAGGCAAAGGTATATTGTGGTACTGAGCACCAGAAAACCTGGGGAAAAGAAATCCTGCCTCTGTCACTGGCCTTCCACAAAATGGTAACTGACCAATTTGATTGCACAGGTAAAAAAGGTTAATGTCAGTCTGTATTAAAAACTTGCATGAACACTACTGCCCCTCAACAATTAAATTATGGTTGGAAAAAAGTCTGATTATGTATAGCTAAGACCACACAAGCAGGACTTGAAGAGAGTTTTTCAATTTTCTACCCAAAAAACCACTCTCCTCCTCAAATAAGCAATTTTCCCAATGGCCCAGAAGAGAGGCAAAGCAACATGAAGATCATGACCAAAAGCTGAGAGAGGTGAAGCTGCAAAACAGCGAGTGTATTGGCCAAGAAGAGGACAGGAAGGAGTAAGAGCTTCAATCTGTAAGAGGGAGAGGAAACATGACACATCGAACTCGCAGAGCCCTGTTTGAAAATAGATAAAGCATTTGCTACTACAGCAACAAAAGCCAAGCCAGAAATGTGGGAGCACAGCCACTACTCAGGGTCAGGACTCTTCAAGCCCTGCCCTCCCCAAATCCACCTGCCAGCAGCAGGATCCCTCCCTAACACTCACTGCTGTAAGGGGAAAACTCTCCCCCTCCGTGACACAAGCTGGGCTTTTCTTGGCTTCAGCTTTGGTGGATTAAGCTCAAATAACAGAACAAGCGTTTATATAAAAGCCCAGTGCTGAGTGCAAACAGCAATTCAGGAAATTTCCCCAGAAGCTCTTATCCTGAAAGCAAGGTGAACGATGCAACAAGTATTTAGGGGAGTCCAAGCACAACACTGCAAAACAAGTGATGTGAGTTGACGTAAAAAATTATTTGCTTTGCTTTTTAACCAACTCTTTCTGGACTATCTCAAGAGCGGTATGCCCAGCTGTTTTTAGACAGTTTGTGTCCCGACAAGACTTTAATCCTAAACATGGCTGAATTAACAAATAATAGCCTTGGTCAATGGCTATGGGGCACAGTGCAGCCACACCACCCGAGGCATTCTCCCTCCAGGACTGTGCCGCATCCTTGGCAAAGAGCAGGCTGGGGACAAGTGACATTACAGGAGCAGCAGCTCCGCCCTGTTCCAGGGGCCGCCAGATGAGAATAGCAGCGGAGGGGCGGGGAAATCATCAGCGCTGCTCAAGGTGATGGGGAGCGAGCGTGAAGGGCCCTCGCAGGTGCCTCAGCATTCTGCATTAGCGCACTCCCGTCTCTGCAGCAAGGGCTTCTTGTGTTCTGCACATCACAACAACGCTCCTGCTCCATCGCCACCCCTCGCTCCCAAACAAACACCGGCACCTGCTTTACAATTCTGATTCACACGCTCCTCACCCATGAGCTTTAGAACTCCTCCTCCCCGATCTCAGCTGGATTTCCCAGGAGTTTCTGAAATAAACCACACCATGCCACCCGCTCCAGCTGGTAAACAGAGTCACGATGTGCCACTCACATGATGGCACTGAAGACAGGCTTCAGAATTGTTTTTGCCCTCATCTGCTGTTGCTATGGGCCACGTCTGATTTTTTCTTTTCTTTTCAAACATTTGTAACAGAAAAATATTCCATGAAGTCACTCATCCCACTGCTCCTAATTCTGTTCATGTTTTGCAGGGATAATCAAAGCTTCTGGGAGTTTCAGGTATTTTTTACATAGAGAGCAATCATTAGCAGTCAATAATCAGGAGAAAAAGCCACACAGAGGAAATGAGACCAGGTACAAAGCCTCATTCTGATGGCAGTGAAAGAGCAGAAAACCACATTTTTTGGCTTGCGTAATTAGATGTGTGATTTTATGCCTGAAAGTGGAGCCACAGAGCTATGCACAAAAATTCCAGCTGCAACACAGGCCTCTGAGCACATCTGGAACTTGAGAGAATGCAAATGACGACACTGAGGGGCTGCAGCATGGCAGGTACCTGCTTGCAGCCCATGATGTGCAAAGATACTGTCAGGGAGTGTCTTGAGCTGTAAAAATCTAAGAATGGATGTAAAATCACACTTTCCCCTTATAAACTATTAAAGAAAGAAATCAAGATCGAGTGCTAAGTTGAGCCATTTTGATCTTGTTGATGGATTTAAAAGAAAAAAAAAAGTAGGTCAGAAAAACGCATTAAAACCTGTGCTTGAACTTAATGATCAACAAGGTAGAATTAAAGTTACCCTTTCTTCAGTCTGAGTTTCTACGAGTGTAAATAACTTGAGAACACAAGCAGATGGGTGCTGCACGTAGGTATGTGGAAGGATGCGCTTAACAACGCAGTTTTCCTCATGATGTAGTAGAAATTGCTCATGCTACTGCTCAAAGGAATTGCAGAACATCTGGTAAACTACAACGAGGCCTTGTATTTCTGAAAAAAATTAGGCCATTCTATCAAGTATTGTTGAGGAGGGAGACGATTTCTAGGCCGGTCAGGGGGGCACGGAGTAACACAGCAGCTGGCGGGGTCTGTGCCACCTGCCCTTCCCGCGAATAAACTACGCGCAAAGTTTAATGGCCCTGAGCAGAAAACGAGCGTACTGCAGAAAATTTCACGTGTGCGAAGCCCCGCAGACCGCGGCTCCCCTCCTTTTGTCTCCTCAGGAGCCCACCGCACCCTCTCCCGGGGCACACGCCGGGGCAGGGCAGCATCCCCACGCCTCCCTCCTCCTCCCACCTCTTCCCTCTGGATCACGCCCTCGCACCTGGGAGCTCCCACCCCCTCCTCCATCCCCAACCCCCTGCGGCCAAGCCGAGGCGCTCCCCGCTCCCGGCCCCGCATCCCCGTGGCCGCGACGGGTCCGTGGCCTGCCCGGCCGAGCCCGCGGGGATCGCCCCGCGCCCGCTCCGCGCCCGCCCCTCAGGGACCGCGCCGCCGCCCGGAGCCCGTCGGGGCCCGGGATCCGGGAGCGGCTCCGCCGGGTTTTGCCTCGGACCCGCCTCGCCCCCTTCGCTACCGCCCTCCCGGCCGCTGTAACAAAGAACAGGCGGCCTGGAGGAGGCGGCGGCGGCGGAGGAGGAGGAGGAGGCGGCGGGGCCGCAGCCGCCGCCGCCGCCCCGGGAGCGCTCGGAGCGGCCGCCGCGCCCGCCCCGGCCCCGCCGCGCGTCCCCGGGAACGGCGGGAGGAGCCGCGGCGGGGCGGGCGCGGGGGGTCCCGAGCGGGGGTGGCGGGGAGGGCGCGGGGTGCGGCGGGAGGAGCGCGGGGAGCCGGCGTTACCTGCCCCGGGAATGGCCAGACCCGGATCGGATCCGCGCTCCGGGTTCCGATCCGCTCCGGAAACCACGCGCCAGCGGAAGCCGGAGCGGGCGGGCGCGGAGCAGGGCGGGAAGTGTAGTGCGGCGGGGCCGGCCCCGGCCCTGGCCCTGACCCCGGCCGTGTCCCCGGCACTGGTCCTGCCTCACTGCCCGGGCAGCCGCCACCCGCGTCCCCTCCCGGGTGGGTCCCAAGCCTCTATCCCCGGAGCTCTTGGCGGCTGCTGCCCCGGCCGGGCTGGAGGTAGCGGACGGAGCACCCGCCGGCTTTCCCGTCTCCTCCCGGGCAGTGCCAGCCGCGGTGGAGGCGGCCCGGAGCGGGCAGAAACAGAATCACAGGATCGGTCAGGTTAGAAAAGACTTCCAGGATCATCCAGTCCAAGCTATGACTCGACACCACCTTGTCCATCACAGCACGGCACTGAGGGCCGCGTCCAGTGCTTCTTTACACACATCCAGGCATGGGGACTGCACCACGTCCCTGAGCAGCCCGTTCCAATGTTTAATCACATCAGTGAAGAAATTCGTCTGATGTCCGACCTGTAACCCTCCCCTGGCGCTGTTTAGGTGGTTCCCCCTCGCCCTGTCCCTGTTCCTTGGGAACAGAGCCCGATTTCCACCTGGCTGCACCCTCCTGTCACAGAGCTGGAGGGAGCAGGAGCATCGCCCCCGAGCCTCCTTTTCTGCAGGCTCAACACCCCCAGCTCCCTCAGCTGTTGGAACCCTGGAAACTGAGAATTTTAGACTTTCTGTGCTGGAATTTGAGACTTTTTGTGCTGACAGGCACTGACCCCCAGGAGAACACTGCATTTGACCTGAGGCCGTGGAGAAGGCTTCCAAAATTAAATTATAGAACTGGGATGATGGGTGTGTAGTTTGAATAGAAGTGTACATTAGAGTTTAAGGTTTTAGACTATAGTAATATATATAAAGCAAGATTGAGGTTTTAGGGCAGATGTTCGTCCTTCTTCACCTTCTTCATGGGTTTGGGTTATATTGTATGATTGGATAGAACAGTCTGCATTGCGAGCCATGGGTGGTTGGTTATTGGGTTAAAAGTGAAAATAATTTAGGTGGCATTTCTTAATTGAACAGTTTATCCTTAAAAGGTCTTGTAGAGAAAGAGATAGGGCCCCATTTTTAGTTTGGTAGCTAGAAGTGCTGTAGAACTCACGGTTTGTGGGACTGTAATATAGATAAGAACTAATAAACATCTGAGTCCAAGAAAGAAGTGACATCTTGAGCTTTTAATCCCGACCTTGGCAGAAAGAAGATAAGCTGTGACACTCAGCCACTCCTCAGAGTGCTGCTGCTCCAGACCCTTGCCCAGCTTTGTTGCCTTTCTCTGGACAAAAGCCACATCAGGCTCTCAGTGGGCTCAGCGCTCCAGAATGAGAGGACATCATCTCAAGTTGCACCAGAGGAGGTTCAGGTTGGACATTAGGAAGAATTTCTTCACATAAAGCGTGATTAGACATTGGCAGGGGCTGCCCAGGGAGGTTTGGAGTTCCCATCTCTGGAGCAGTCCAAGGAAGACCTGGACATTGCACTCAGTGCTCTGGGCTGGGTGACAAGGTGGGGATCAGTCACAGGTTAGACTCAATCACCTTGGAGTCTTTTCCAACCTAAATGATTCTATGATTCTTAAACCTCACATTCTGGCATTACCAGGATCTATCAGTGCCCAGCCCTGCTGTGCCTGCCAGCACAAATCATTTAGGGGTTTAAACCTTCATTTGTTTCCACCACTCCAGGCAGTGGCCAGGGCAAGAAGCAAACAGGCTTTTTGTATTCAAGCAAGATGCCCCAGTATTTTGCTCTGCTGAGAAGTGTTGCCTGCAGTGGAGTCTTCCCAAAGCCTTTTGCAGTGTTCCTGCCACCATGGTGTGACTGGTCAGCCTTCACTGTCAGAAAACCACTGGAGATCAAAAGGTGGTGGGAAGCTGGCACCAGTTCTGTTTTCTCCAGGGAATGTACTCTTCTCACATCTGGCTATATCTTTAACAGCTGGCAACAGCCAGGGCCTTTCTTGATTGTCACCCATCCCACAAACCCAAGTACCAGTTTCAAAAGAGGTGTGTACAGAGTATTCTCAGAATGGGTCAGGCTGGAAGGGACCAGAGCAGGTCACCAGGTCACATCTCCCTGCTCCAGCAGGGCCATCTCAGAGCACATGGGAGAGAGTTGTGTCCAGATGGTTCTGAAATAACTCCAGCAAGGGAGACTCCACAGCCTCTCTGGACAGTCTGTTCAGGGCTTGGTCACTGCACAGGGAGGTTCTGCCTCATGTTCAGGTGGAACTCCTGTGCATCAGTTTCTGCCCGTTCCTCTCATCCTGTGGCAGAGCCTGGATCCATCCTCTGGGCATCCCACCTTTAGCTATTTATACACATTAATGAGGTCCCCTCTCAGGTGTCTCTTCTTCAGACTGAGCAGCCCCAGCTCCCTCAGTCTTTCCTCAGAGCAGAGATGCTCCCAACCCTTATTTTGTCACTCTGCTGGCCCTGCTCCAGGAGCTCCTGTCCCTGCTGTGCCGAGGATTCAGAGCTGGGCACAGCAGCCCAGAGGTGCCTCCAGGGACGGGCACAGGGGCAGGATCACCCCTGACCTGCTGGGAATGCTCATCCCAATGCACCCCAGGGCACCATGGCCATAATGTGACTGTCTTGTCAGGTGCTTGGGGAACATGAAACAATGCAGCATTTGAATTTTCAAAACATTGTACTTGGCAAAACATCGCTAATTTCAGGATGGGGGACCATTTCTTCTTTCAAAATGACTCACTAGCAGTTTTAAATGACTACAGGAGTAGGAACGGGAGTTTTTTAAAGGATCTAACTGCATGTTCAAATAATTTGCTTTTTCAAGGACTGAAGCTGACTGGTAGTTTTTGTATAGTCTGTTTTTACTTATTTTCCCTGTATATCTCAGTGCATACTCACATGGACTTCTGCCTGGTTTTCTCCAGCATCCAGCACGGTTTATCCTACTTGCAGTGTATTCACTTTGTCAGAATAAGTATAAATTAATTCAATATAGTTATCTCTATTTTTACAATGCATGTGAGTCTGGATCCTGCAGCTCTAAAATTAGTTTTTTCAGCATTAACCTCAGACTGTGAAATTGCATCTTATGCCAGGCTCACCTGGGCAGAGAGGTGAAAAATTGAAGATCCTTTATATTTATTGTTTAAGAAGGATGAACTGGAGGGAAGAGTATGGTGCCACACTTGGAGCTACATCCATTCTCTCCCTCATCCATGCTCTCTCTCACAGATCTTGTCACTTTTGTTAATGTACAGGAATCGTATCACACGGGTAAAAAAACTCACCACAGATTAGAGCAGGGAGGAAAAGGATGAAGGATTGTTAATAGGAGACTATCAGGAAACTTGAGCTAAGCACTTAAATAATATAAAATAAACAGGTATGTAAATATGGGCAGTAACTCCCAGTAAGGGAATGTAATTTACAATTCCTTGTAAAAGAGGATACAGCCCTCAACTTTGGAAGGGAAATAAACATTATTGTGGCTATTTTCACGTTAATGCCTTTTATTTGTTTTGTTGGGTTTTTTGTTGTGGTGGTTTTAATGTTGGGGTTGTTTTTCCCCCTCAGTCTGGTAGGGCTTTGTGGCAGCACTGATTTATAACATAACCTTTTCAATAAAATCATCACAAGAGAACCTAATTCCCAGGCTGTGCTCATTCTAGTAGGTGGTGTCTTCCCCATAGGATCCAGACTCTAACACTCTTTGCCCCCTAATTCAGGACATTACGACATAGCTGAGAGAAAAAAATAGAGTAACCACAATGAGCTCCATTCCTTCTGCCATTAGATTCCCTACCCAATCTGTGTTCCAGGTGATTTCTCAAGCAACAAGGGGCTGCCTGATAAGCTGGGGTTATCAGGAAAGAACTCTGTTCCTGAACAAACAGGTAAATGGTCTGTGTTAAGCAACAGGTCAAATTAGGGAAGGAGAGTAGAAAACCATCTGTTAAACCTGGGTAAGTAGGACAGCACACCACACAGAGACAATTGGCTTTTATTGTATGTACAGCAGAAGTTACTTCTTTAAAAAAATCCTCTTAGGTTTTTGCAGTGATATAATAAATCTGTACATCATAGATTTCATAATTGCACCAACTTGAGTTTATGTATGCGCAGAAAGAAAAACACACCACAGAAGAAGTGACTGTGACAGTTGATGGTAGAAAAAAAAATGTTTTACCCCAAGTGGAATAATACAGAGCATAATACATCATTGGGAAATACAGAGTTATAGAACTGGAAAGACCTCAGATCATCCTTCCCAGCTGTTTTTACACCATGCCAGCACCTTGCATAGTGGCAGTTTGGATATCCTGAGTGAAGTGCTATTATTCACCCTTAACATAAAGTAATCACCCTTGTTATATAATTAATCTGGAGTTGTTTGTCACCAAGGCTGAGGCTTAGCAATGTGCAGAAGCATATGCTGACTTTAAACACATGAATAAATCCACTTAGGTCCTGTGGAGGACAGAGCATGAGGTCAGCTGTTCCCTCTCACAACAGGAATGTCTTAGCCTGGAGCTACGGCACAGTTAATTCTATAAGCACTTGTCTCAAACCTCAGCTCTCCAAATCAAAGCCTGCAATAAACTCAACTGAAAAATCCAGGCAGCTCTCACCTTGCTCCGTGTAACGGCCCAGACCTAAAAAACATGTTAAAACAAGAGCAAGATTCTTATTTTGCTTCCCCATCCATATTTGGTAGCATTTTATGCTTTCAACTTTGTTTTTTCCTATGACGTTTTGCAAGAAATATCCAGCAGAAAGTTTTCATTTGAAAAACACCTAGAACCAGCAAGGAGATGCAGTACCAGGAAATGCTGTAAAATTCCACTAATCCCCAAAACTGGTGTAATTGCCAGCCAAGTTAATGAAAAAAGCAGCACTATAAATCCAGTCCTCTCAAGAGCAAGACAGTACAAGATCTGTATGGCCTGAAGCCCCAACCTGTCTCCCAAAGAAAGAGCAGGGAAAAAGAATATCTGTCAGAAAGCATAAGAATAAAACCCAGTATTTATGCCTGCACAGTGTATGACCTGTCCATTAAGTTGAAGGAGTTTGGCAAAGGTATTTTTCTTTCAAAAAGACCTTTTTTCCACCCTGGCACTCCTTCTGCCTCAGATTCCCAAGTTTCATATATTATTAGGAGTGAAATGACTCTAATTTCTTCCTGGGGCAAGTAGGATATGAAATACCAATGACTTAGGGATAAAGTCTTCCCCTCCTCTTTGAAGTGACTTTGAAGGGGATCTCAGTCACTTTAAGAAAGTTACTTAGCTTGTATTCCCATTGGACATATTAAGTAGTTTTATTGCTTTCATCTACAAAGAGCAATTTAATTCTTGTACTATTTATTCAATCAAAATTCACACTAAAGCTAAGACAAATCTTGGTGAGGATAGGGCTTGTCTCCACTGAGGCATATTTAAAGTTTAAACACCATAAAGCAAAACAAACTACAAACATAAATTAAGAAGTTGCAGATATGGGCAGAAAAATTCTTTAGAAAGGGAAAGCAAGCCTTCATCTCTTAGTCCTCATGAAATGAATATCATGCTTTCTTTGCTGTACAGAACACCCAGACACACAGAAGTGTGAGAAAAGGGACAAGAGGAATGAGTATTTCAAAGGTTGTTTCTAATCTACTATTCTGAGGTCATTATATTGCAAGGCAGTAAACAAGCAGTTTTCAGTGTAATAATATAATGTAAAGATTTTATCTGCTATTCAAGTCGGTAGTTATTAAAATTCTTTGTAATTTTAATTACTAGACATTTGAACAATGGATCAAATTACAAAACACAGAAGGTGATTCCCTCTGGCATCCTTCACAAAAACTGCACAGGACACATCACTGTGTAATCTGTTCCAGTTGACAAATCCAGTCTTTCTGACCCAAAACTGCAGTGTGGATCCTGCAGGTTGTGAGAATCCAGCTCACACTGACCCAAAAATGTACAAAAAATGTACATCCTCAGATCTCCTGATCTTAAATGACAACCTAAGCAGGGGATGGGATTCATTTTGGTGGGTCTTTGGGGTTGTCACAACAGAGCAACTCAATTGTCCCCTTGTGTTTAGTGCCTTAGCTTGTTTTGGTTTTTACAGCAGGACATAAATTATTTGCAGAGCAGTAAGAAGAGGTGAGGAACACGTTTACCAGATACAGAGATCCAACATCAAACCAAACAATGTTTATTTTCCTGAGGAGTGAAGGCAAATAAAAAAACAGATTCCCTTTTTATACCAAATGCCTTGCTCTCCTCATCTGAAGAATTCATTCTCTTAACACACGTGAGCCCAAACCTTCACACAGTTTGCAGTAAAGAATGTTTTTCATTCCCACCATCAAGACAAGCATTCAAGTGATCATGAAGACCTTAAGATGAACCACTTTTTCATGTGTATCCATTCTCTAGGGTAAGTTACAAGCAAATCCTAGTCCTGTATCCTGCAAGTTACTCAGTGTTATTTCACTCTGTTCTACAGTACATGCTAAAGCTTCTGTAAATTAAAATCCCAGTTCAGTAAATTAAGAATACTTCAAGTAATGTTATGTGCTGCCTCTACATTCTCAATTCCACAGCTCTTTGTTTTTTGTGTATGGATGCCATGGAGATCAGTTTCATTTGGATTTCTTGAATTTAGGGACCAGTTGTTGTTTTATCCTTCAGCAACAAAGACTGAGCATTTAAAAATGGCAGGGACTTGACCCCCACTCTGCCCCATAACACAGAGAGTTCCTGGTAAAATCAAGACAAAAAAAGTCTGTTGAGAGAACATGACATCAGGATTTTAAAGCTCATATCATGAACCACTGTAGAACAAATGAAGAAACGTAACTTCTATTTTGTATTAAATTGGAAATAAACAAAACTGTTGAGGCACATTCAGGCTACACAAACCTGTTACTGAACTGGGATTTCTAAGCACAGTATAGCTCCAGAAAATTCATTTGTACCCAATTTTCAAAATACAGAACATTAAAATGCCTTCAAGTGTTTTCATAACAAGCAGCATGCTTAAACGTACAACTATTTGATAGTCTGGTCTACTGTACTACCACAGTAATCTTAGGAGGTTACACATAAACAGTATTTTTAAACAGTTAAAAGATTTTGACAGTTCAGTTCTAATATTTTCTTGGTAAAAAAGAAACCAAACCCCCTCTACTTTGATATTGATTTACCAGGGAACCTTGAGTCCATCAGAAATTTGAAATGTGTTTTTATTTTTTAGTAACTTTCTATTTTTGATGAATGCTTTAAGTTGAAAGCCCAAATATCTGCCAAAGTGTTGGATAGCTTAAAGAAGGAAAAGGGGCCAGGGAAAAAATCACTGTTGGCAAAGTAGGCACAAGGTCTATCATCCATTCACATCAGTAATTTAGTTGGAATGAATGGATGTTTTTCTTGGCTGAAGAGAACAGGCTTGGTCCTTTATCCTCAGCAGGAATGTGGATGATGGAAAAGTACAGGTAAAGCATGAAAGATGGTACCAGTGAAATACTGACATTTTAATCTTCTTCATAACCAAAATGAGAACTATGCCTTTACTCTCATCAGTTTTTCATTTTAGACTAAAGGAGCCAGCTGCAGTATTTAGTAAGGAAAAAAAGGTTAAAAAACTCATCTGACCAACCACTCAGCACATGACAACACTGGTAGATCTAGAAACTGAACTAAGGGAATTCATATCTTTTCAAAAGCTTTCTTCACAACTGTGTATTTTAAGATCTCAGTAAGAGTTTGGCAAGTAGGACAAGCTTTCCAATGAAAAGCACTGTAAGGTTAACTATGCTCTATTCACCATTTACTGCTCCTAGCTTTGCATTTGATATTATGGTTTATGTACTTGTCTAACAAACACTTGGGAGAAGGAATTAGAACCCCTAAGATGAGTTTTTGCATCAGCAATACAGCTTCTCACACAGGGAAGGAAAGCTACATGTAAGATTTTGCAAATACTTTGTTTGCAAGTAGCTTCAAGTAGATTAAAAAAAATTGTGTTTTTTTAAGCATAACTTTTTTTAAGCAGAACATTAAACAATATGCTAGCATTGGTATTTGCATAATTTATTGATTTATGGCTAATGTTAAAGGCATCTCTCCACCTACATGGGCTGAGCAGTGATTATAGCAGGCTACAGTAATTACAGTAGGATATCTGAGTCAGCCTTTTCCTCCTGCTTCTGAACACTCACCCGCTTCCAAATTACAACACAAACTGCATCTGGGCCTCTTTTTTTTCCCCCCCTTTCAGTCTGACTAGAAAAATCAGTTGCTGCTGTTGCAGGCTGCAGTGAGGGAGCACAGTGGTGTCTTCTCTCTCTCTGTAGAGGCTCTGTCATATAAACTGGGTGTGGTATTTCAGTTCTGAGCTCCCCGTTGGTGTAAATCCAGGTGATCACGTTTGGGTCCTCCCTACAGGATCAGTCAGGCTGGAAGTCACAGTGGGGTCATCTGGTGCCACCTCTCTGCTCCAGCAGGGCCATCCCAGAGCACAGGGCACAGGCTTGTGTCCAAACAGTTCTGGAAAATCTCCAGGGAAGGAGAATCCACAGCCTCTCTGGGCAGTCTGCCCCAGTGCAAAATAAAGAAGTTGTGCCTCCTGTGCAGGGGGAATTGCTGGGCTCAGTCCCTGCCCGTGGCTCTGGGGCCATGGCTGGGCCCTGGAGCAGAGCCTGGGACTGCTCTGAGCCTGCCTGCACACAGGGACACACAGACAGACAGGGGAACACCCAGGGACAGACAGACAGGGACAGACAGACAGGGACAGACAGGGACAGACAGACAGGGACAGACAGGGACAGACAGACAGGGACACGCAGGGCTGAGGCCCCTCTCAGCTGGGGCTCCTCTCCAGGCTGAGCAGCCCCAGCTCCCTCAGCCTTTCCTGGGCACGGAGATGCTCCAGGCCCTTGCTCAGCTCCAGGAGCTCCTGTCCCTGCTGTGCTGAGGAGCCAGAGCTGGGCACAGCACCCAGAGGTGCCTCCAGGGCTGGGCACAGGGGCATTAGCCGCTGGAAACGCTCTTCCCAGTGCATCCCAGGACATCAGGTGCCTTCTTGGTCCCCACCTGCACCAGTCCCATCCTCCCTCCTCTTCCACAAGAAACCACGTGTTCCTCCAAAAGCCATCGGGACACATTCAGCACCGCTCGTATTTGGAGAAGCGACTTCATCATCAAAGAGAGAAAGCATTTTGGAAAAATAAACCAAAAAGACCACTGTTAATAGTCAACATCCTTTTATGCAAGTCATCAGCCATATTTGTATTCTCTAGTACTGCTCTGTAAACAAGTGCTCAACTGCTGAGCAGGTATCCCATCGGAGAGGGTTCATAGGTACGGCTCTCCCGAAGCACCGTTCAGTTTGTTCTTGCTCTTGTTCCTGGAAAGGAGCTTCTTGCTCAGAATTCGTGAGAGTGTCCCGCCCTTCTTGCGGCTCTCCTCGGACAGAGGCTGCTGCAGGAACACCAGGTCATTGTGGGACTGGCTCATTCCCGGGTCCTTCTGGTGATGCTGCCGGCGGAAAAACAGCTTCGCGCTTTTCTTCAAAATCCCACCTGGGGAAGGAAAAAGGGGCAGGATGCTTTAGACAGAACAGGCTGCTGTCCTCTTGAAACTCAGCTTTAACTGCAGCACGAGTGAGAAAAGCTGACCCTCTGATTTCAGTCTCCTTCCTTACACTTAGTTCCAAATGCTCTTCTGTGCTCATACACACATGCACAGCGGCTGGTGTGGGTTGTACCCTGGGCTCTCGAGTGTCAAAGAGGCACATCCAAAAATTTCCAACCAGTGAAGTAGAAAGGATTTTATAAAGAGAGGAAATAATGTTACTCTTTGTTGTTTCAGAGATCAAAGGAGGTGAAGATCAGCCTGTGTGGCACCATGTGAAGCAAATTTTAATTGGAGGTGCAGGACAACAGTACCTGGCAGTAAACATGTGTGCAGTGGCTCTGTACAAGCCAGACTGCAGGTGTTCTATACAAATTCAGCAGCACCACCCAGAGTAACACTCACAAAGCATTTGCTATGCTAAAACCCTGTTAGGAATAGCAATGCACTTCAAGCAGATTAAAAATAATATTACATCTGCTTCCAACAGGTTCAGAAGTCTGCCCAAATCCCTCCTGCAGTAAATCAAGTTGCTTTATTCTGCCATGTTCCTTCCCTTGACCCCATGTTAAACCCAGCATGCAGCCAAGGCAATTGCAGCTGTCATCTCACCAGGGACTCATGCTGCCAACAGCAGCTATCACTACTCCTCTCTTTGCAAGCTTAAGTTGTTTTTGCAGCCATTCTGCCAAATTCCACCCTCTCTCTCCATGTGTGCCCGTGTGCCTGGTGTGCAGCTGGCAGGGACACTACTCCAGGCTACCAGCAACACTCAGCCTGGTTGAGACATCAGCTCTGTGTTAAAATAGCATCAGTTTTGTATGGAATTGGTAGGGCTGTTGTCCCAGGTGGCAGGAGCCAATTTGGACAGAGGAGGACCCAGGTGACAAGCACAGGAGCTTCTGGCAGTCAGACTTGGCTGTGGGGACAGTCACCTCCCTGGCAAAGCTTCCACGGCTCCTCCCTGCAGTACTATCAGGTTTCCTGATCCTTTCTCAGTTCAGCTATTAACTCCTGTCATGGCAAGGTCTTGATTCTGCTTTTCCTCCCACTGCAAATGGACACAAAAAGCAACACACAGTGCAGCTCTTTCATGGGACACTGCCACAGCTAGAATTAAATGTTTGCTCCCCGAGGACCTGACAAGGCCTCTGTGTCACTTTGCACACAGTGACAGCTGCAGAACAGGTATTTCATGGCAGCCAGATGCTGCTTTGTACACACCAAAGCAGTCACAAACATGTACTTGGGTTTATTACTGTGTACTTTAAGGGCTAAGCACTCAGCACCTGGGAGGATATTCAAGCATGTTTTTTCTGGCAGCTGCTGAGTCTCTCCTCACAGGGCACAACGGGATGGGAAGCAGAAATCAGCTGAAAGCAACCACAACTCGTGGATTTGAATCTTGACTGCTCTCCCATCAGCCTCTGATTGATCTTTCTGGCAAGGCAGTACCACTTCAAGCTGCTGTCAGCAGCACAAAAGCAGCAGTGTTCCACCCCAGGACGCTGGCAGTTGTTGATGTGCAGAGGCTGGGGGGATGCAGAGGCTCCTCTGCTGTGCAGCTCCTGTTTGAGCAGGCAGCTGTTCTGCCCAGCAGCCCTGGCAGCTGCAGCTGAAGCCGTGCCAGTAGCACTGGGACACGAGGGTTTATCCCTAAGCAGATTTTTAGTCCCATCCATTCTGTCATTCAGACTTGATTTTCCACACCAGGAAACAGCACCCGACTAAGAATGCTCCAAAAATTCCGCCATTGGCCTGGGACAACTCCCTGCAGCTGAAAAACCATGGGCAGCACTTCCCTGAGAGCAGCACAAGCAGTAGCCCCCCAACACAAGAGCTCCCTGGTGTCCAGTCTCTGCTGCCTGGAAGCTTGCCACATGCCCAGCAGTGTGCAGCCAGTTTGGAGTGTGCTGCCTGGCAGTGGCTCTGGCTGCTGCAGAGGCATGCAGCCCTGGGAGGAGGCAGGGCAGGGCAGGGCAGGGCAGCAGGCTGGCAGTGCTCATGCTGGCTTATGTGCTGGTTTATGTGCTGCTTGCATGCTTATGCCTCCAGTTCAACAGGATCCATGTGCCAGCCCAGCCTCTGTACAAATACAAACTCACTGCACTAATGTAGGGTGCTCTGAAAATGCTTGTGGGGATGGGATCACTTCTGAATCTCGTTTGTGCTAATGGAGGAAGATTTCCTTCCACTTCTACAGGGATACAGAGATTGCTTTCCATTCCTTCCCAACTTCCAAAACAGTTTTCATACAGGTGGTTCTGTAAAAAGCTGCTGATTTTGTAAATACCTGCTGAGGTTGTGGTAGCTCTGTAAGTTAGGCTAGAAAAGCTTTATCTAAAAATCTGTAAGCAGCAGGTTTTAAAGTAAGTTTTGTTTGTGTATATCCAGTTATGGTTTGCATGAGCAGATTCTGATTGATTACCAGATACTACAGCAATGGGCATGATGGAGAGATTAGGAATGTAGAGCATCCCTCCAAGCCTTCCTTGCTGCCCTCCTGGACAGCACAACCACCAGAAGGATGATTTGTCACAGCAGATTCTCTGCTAAGACACCTGAGAACAGGAAGGTAATTTTGGGAGGAGAAAAGGAATGGATGGGGGAAGAAGAAAATGGGTGTCAAACTAATTTTTGGTTCAGTTTTTACAATGAGTGTCTCATTGTAAAGCTACATTTTCTTAGGGATAAAAAAAAGAGACAAGAATAACTTACTGTGTAGGTAATTAATTCTGGCTGGCATAGTAGTCATCTTAAGTTTATGAAAGGGAATGGGTAAGAAAGAGGAAGTCAGAAAGGTAAAAAGGCAAACAAAAATATGCAAGAGTAAAAAAAAAAGTACTAACTTTAAGACATTAACACACACAAAAGGCTTTTCAAAGCAGAAGGGGTTTTGTTTGGGTTTTTTGCCGTGTTGGGGTTTTTTGTTGTTGCATTTGCAGTTTTATTTGTGGTGGGTTTTTTGTTGTTTGCTATTTTTTTAAGGGAAAGCATTTGACAAACAGAAGCCTTGAACTATTCACAGCTCACTGAAGGCAGAGGGGTTGAAATGTTTTCCTATCTTACTCCATAAAAGCTACTCAGCTGTGACAAAGCAGAGATTCAAGACTTCCACAAAGACATCTGTGTATAATGAAAGGGATTTGAGCCAGTTTTTTTCAAGTATTTTTTCAAGATGATGCAACTCTCTCAGAGATATTTTGCAGTCTCAGAGATAAGTTTTTAGCAGTCTTATACTGAATTGTGTGAAAAGGATCTCTAGAAGAAAAGGATCTCTTTGCACAGGGAAACCCAAAACTAAACAACTCACATACAAACTTCCACTTGTTTGTTTTAGAATAACATGCTGAAGAAGAGACCCGAGGTTTTGCAGTTTCTCACACAGCCTCCTAAACTTTTCCAGGCTCCAAAATGAGCCAAATCCCTTGACAACCAACCCACTCCTCTCACCCCAAACACACCCAGGACTTTCCAGTGCCTGAGCATGTGTGTGACAGCGATTGTTGCTGCACCCTCCTGATCTCTCATGTGGAGCAATCCAACTGTGGGAAGGCCAGAGAACTCCAAGCTCTAAGGGAGGGTCCTGACAAAGAGCTCCAGTGTCTGTCCCGTGGGTGAGGGGGGTGATAATCCAGTAAAATAGGGAGGTTTTGTAGGGAGCCATTTCCCAGCATCTCTGGGTGAGGAAAGGATAGGAAATAATAAAGCAGAGAGGGGTGGGTATGAGTGACAAGCACAGTATTTTTTGCAACTTTAAGGTGCAGCCTGTGTGCCTGTTTGGGGCATAGTCCACTGCACTGGCCCTTTTGTAAGACTTCCTAATAGCCCCTCTGTTTACCACAAACCAGTGCTCAGAGGTTACTGGATTTACCAAGGAAACACAAAGAATCCTAAGACATTTTCAAACTGCAGCTATTCAGGTGTGTAACTACCTAGACAAAATGATCTGATGCCTTATTTATTAAATTAAATTAACTTTTATTCCATTTTCTTTAGCAAATTATGCATTAATGAAATTAATATATATTGCCAATATAGGGCAAGTCCTGGGTTACAAGGACACAGTTTGCCTTGAGGAATTGATAATGTGACTAGTGGATTTCTCTCCCAAATAACTAAGTAGGATGTAATGAGCTGCCAGCTTCTAAGGGTGAACTGTTTCCTCATGGAGGAGAGGGTAAGAAAGCCTGAGCTGGCTCAGAGAGCTGCAAGTAAAACAGCTTCAACCAACACTACAATCACAGAGTTTGAAGGACAAAAAAAATCAATAAGAAAGGGCGAACTACTGCAGCCAATTACACAGAGAAAGCAGTCGCTGAAGTGCAAGTGAGGATCATGTACCTTTAGATTTTTTCATGCTCCCGGTTTCTGAAACACTTAATGAGCTCCCAGATATTTCTTCAGAGGTCTGGTCTAAGAGTGTGCTGGGGTCCCACTGCTGGCTGCCATTCTCCAAACCCCAGGTCTTGTGGGTGCTTTGCTGTGGGTCAGTACCAGGAACTCTTTCTGAAGCACTCAATGGCTGCTTTTTATCAGAGGTGATTTTTGCAACAGCTTCCTCCACAGTGGGTGGATCTGCTTCCCTGCAGGAGCTGTCCATGGCTGCAGCATAGTCCATCATCAGTGAAGCTTCACTGTCCTGAGATAAAGAGGTCTGCCCAGTGGAAATAAGAGACAACACTGACACAAGTCATCCTGCTGGAGAAAAACCTCTCTGCAAGAGTTATTTTAACTCTTTACACTTGTATTGCTAAGGACCATCATAGCTCTACTGAAGGACAGGAGCATTTAGCAAAGTTTTGATCATGTTACAAAGGCCAAATGAGTGAAAAAATTAAGTAAATGCCTTCCACCTATCTCTGGCCCCACTGCAAATAACAGGACTCCCCTACATGTGCTGCTGTAATGAAGTGTCAGCACACCCAGAGAATCTTTTGGTCCTTTTAAAAAAATTAACATCAAAACATTTCATCTTGTCTCATTGTTTGCCCTCCCTCTGCAACAGAGACCAGAGAACCAGAGGTTTTTCAGAGGGTTTTAACAGCTTTGAAAAAAAGTAGAACAATCTCTCATACTTTTTCAGAGTATCGTCCCTACATGGGTGAAACAGAGAAGGATTATCCTCTCTTCTCACCTAAATTGATTTTCCCAAATCCCTAACACCAAGGACACTATGTATTTTTAGTCAGGCTGTCAAATCTAACAATCAGAACCCAACACCCTGATTTGGCTTAACTTAAACAGTCACAGAAAAAACCTGGCACACAAAACTGGATTCTGCAGAGACAGCAGAAGCAGAAAAGTCAGTGCAGAAAAGGCTTTACAGAACTAAGCATTAACTCTAAGTGCTGTTTTCTGCTCTACCTTGGACACCCCTGATATGATAATGGTGCTTTTCTTCCGAGGAGACTTCAGCTTCTGCTTTGCAGACTCACTCAGCTGCCTGATGGCTGCTTCTGCCACAGGGTCAGTGCCATTCAGTACCAGCAGCTCTGGAAAGAAAGGATCATTTCAGAGGGGAGAAGGAAAAACAGGGGAAAAAAAAAAACCAAACCAAAGCAGAGACAGGCAGAGTTTGTCCTTGACTTAAAATTCACAGAAATGGCATCAACACCATAAACTTGCCAATTCACCATCCAGCCATCAGTCCTATTTTTCTCTCCTGTCACCCATTTTTGGAGAAAAGGTACCAAAATGTCACTCACAAACCCCTTCCATGAGAACAAAGGAGGTTCTGGAAGCCTGGACAAAACACCCCATTATTTCAATGCATTGCTACCCTGTGGTGACAGTGGGGACATCATGAGTTACCACAGTCATGAAGAACCACAGGTTCTGACATGGCACAAGGCTGCCTACACATGATGCCACTTCCTCAGGTAGCTTTTTTGTTATTTTGCTCCTTTTCCAGACCTCCCTGCTCAGCATTTCCAGTTTTGCTATGGCACTGTGATAGGGTGGGGAAGGCAAAGTAGCTGCCTCCAAATCCTGTAAAGTCCATCCCCTTTTCCCCTCCAACCACTGCACAGGAATATAAAACTTTCTGTATAAAATGCTCTTTAGTGACAAACAAGTTTATTTTTAAGCATGGCCCTTTCTGGCTTCTAGGACACAAATACACATTAATCAAATTCATCAAGCTCAGGAACAAACAAGGCTAAGGAAGTCAACAAGACAAAAATCCCCAAGTTTAATTGCCTGAGGTGGACTTTTCTGGCAAGAGTTTGAACAACAACAAAAAGAAGAGAGGCAGGAATAGCACCAGTGTTAACTAAATTGAGCAGTGCCTTTTGTTACTGGGACAGTAATGTAACAAAAGATGAGGCCTAGAATTAAGAATATGTGTGCATGCCTGCACAGTCATCTCAAATCTTGACTTTTTCCATCTCCTCAGCCCCTGCATTAATTCTCAGTGTTGTCATCACTCAGAATTATGGCACAGACACAGCATCTTTTCCAGAGTGCTTCCTGCTATTTTGCCATGATGTTTTAATAACTTTTACCTAAGTTACGGCCATACCAAAAGCTCCTTTGTATTTCTTTCCTTTGGCTTTTGTTCTAATGATTAATTCTTCCTGCAGTACTGTATAAACACTTCACAGAAATCCCCCTGCACTCCCAATAAAAACATTGTCCATAACAGTATGGAATAAGCAGCCTCTAGGTGAGTTTTCCAGCAAGTGTTTTGTGTCTTCAAGCCCATAAACACTTCAGAGAGTCAACTCAGAAGTCTTGCACTATCTTAACATTTCGCAAATTGATGTAGTAATACCACACTCCTTCATGGTTCAGAGTATTTCTTATCCTGGAGATGGGAAAAGATCCAAGTGCTGTTACAGCTATTCATGGTTACTGCTTCTTACCCTTCCCCAGATTTGTTGGCCAATACATTTCTGTCTCTCAGAAACCTCCTGGCTGTGCCAGGAGCAGCCCAGATCATCTCCACATTGTCCATTCCCCACTCAGACCTGTACAAAGCCAACTGAACTCCACGCCAGGTGCCACTGGCAGCCACACTGGGTCACATCTGTCACCTCCCTTGCCCACAAAGCCACTGAAAGGTTCAGTGGTGACCACACACAGGACTGAAAAAGTGCTGAAGATTTAGAGCTGCAACTTGAAAAGGTAAATTCCCCAGAGATAAAATCAGGTTTACATGCAGTTGAAAGTGAATTTATAATTATTGTCAATGTCACCTGACACTTTGAAGGTGACAGGTATCCAGATGACTTAGGAAGGTGGACAAATGGGTACAGCAAGCCCAAAAAAGCCCAGTGGCAGGGCTAGGAAGAGAATTGAGTCTTCCTTACATCAGTCCAGCCTCTGCCTTCTCTTCAGACACAGGGGACTTAGAGGTACATGTCACAGGGTTTTAATTTAGTGCAGCATCCTCTGTGCCTTTATGAAAGGAGGCATCTTTCATTCAAAAGTAAGAGAAAAAAATTACTTTTGGCTTTTCTGCAGTCTCCTCCCCTCTCTAAGCCACAGCTCATTGTTATTTAATCAAAACCAGTAATTTAAATTGCCAATTAAAACCAGACTTTTACTGCAAGGCTGCCATACCCCAAACCACAGTGCTTTGTAACATAAACAGCCCAGTGCTGCTGACAGGCAGCAGCCACATGGGCTGGCTGTCATTTTATCAGGACATTAATCCCATGTGCAGAACAGAGAAATGCTCTCCTTAGCAGCTTCAAACATTTTTATTACCTGTATCTGAAGATGACAAGGTTTTGCTGACTGGAGCACCATGGGAATGGAGGGCTTCAACAGTGAAATCCTTTTCAGTCACCTTTACTTTAACTGGAGTTTTCACAGGAGAATCTGAGGACCAAGTTTTTTGGTTATTTGAATTGGTCAAGACATTTTTTTATTACATTAATAAGAGTTTATTACATTGGTCATGCCTGTTCCAATCATAAATGTTTGAGAATATTGTTTAATAGAAATTCTCAACACATGTTCTGTGGTAAACCTGACCCCAAAAGGCCAGTGAAGTGTGAGAATTTCTTTAAACATTTTTAAATGTTTAAAACATTAAAGAATTAAAACATTCTACTGTAATCCGTTAGACAACACCCACTTAAGTAAAAGATTTGTTTTAACAACTTAAAAGAACACAGATCTTTGTGATGCTTCACACCAAGACTGTTCACGGGTTTTACTTTTATAATTTTCCCAAGAAACATTGGAAAATCTGCTCCTGAAGGACATGCTGAAAATGATTTTGTCACCAGGTAACACCAGCCTTCATCAGAGATGATAACACAGATCAGGGTTAGAGGGCACAGGATGGTTTGCTATCAGCAAACCTCTGAGAGTCTGATGTATTTGTCCTGTGAAAAACCACCCACCAAAAACCCAGCCCTTCTACATTATCACACCGTGATGAAGATTTAGAGCACATATTAAAAGAAATATTAACTGTTCCTATTGTAAGAAACAAGTTTTTGTGAAAATGAAAAACCTGATTCTGGAGAATACAAACAACAACCCCACTCCAGCACATCAGGGAACTCTGGAAAATGGAGCTTTCCTGCCATCCCAGTGCCCAGTGCCTCTCCTGGTACCCATGGAGGGAACACAGGAAGGTCTGACCTGTGCTCAGGGGGGATGCTCTCCCTTCCAAGCGAGGTTTGGTTCTCACAGCAGTGACAGTGGTGACCACAGTCCCGCAGGGCATCACAGTGCGATCCTTCTCGATCTTGGTGGCCAGCACTGGGGAGGAGACCTGCCTTGCCTTCAGCTCACTGGGTTCTATAAAAGAGAACTAAGGAGACAGAAAAACACCCCTCAGAAGCACAGTCAGGCAAGAAGGACATTACTTCTAGCTGGTACTCCTTCAAGGTTTTTGCTGAGCCAAACTCAAGAGTTAATTCTTTCGATAAAACACAAACACCCTGCAATCAGAACAGGCTGCTCTGACTCAGCCACAAGTCCAAGCACGAGATGAGCATTCCCAAGCACTTCCAGAAGTGAAAGATTCACCCCAATTCCCACCCCCAGGCCCAGCAATACCTCTGCACTGATGGATCCCAGCCCTGGCTCCGAGCTGCTCTCCCTGGCCCCGCTGGTCAGAGCAAAGCTGTGCTGGCCAGAGGGCTGTTTCCTGAACAGGTCTAGAGGTACAGTCACCTTCCCAGATAAAGGACCTGCAAGAATAAAATCAGCAAGGTCAGCCCACATCTAAGCTGCCAGGATGTGTAAGGGAGAGAATACAGGAAGGGAGGAGAAATATTCAGGCGAAAAATTGCAATAACTGGTTCTACACCACGGGGCAGAGAAGTGGGATTTTACAGCTTTTTTTCCTATTTTATGTCTATTCCTCAGCCTAGCCTAGTACTGTGTAACAAGAAAGAATGGAACCATGAAATATTACTTATTTAGTGTTGTTTCTGGCCATTATTTTTCTCTTTATATGAGGAATGTCTAGGGGAAAAAAGGAAGGTTCTTGGACAATCTCCATAACCAGTTCCTGCACTGTTCATTTCAGAGGACAATCTGGATTCCTGGTTAACTGGTGCATCACAACAATGATGTTTCTTAATTTGAACTTTAATAAAACTTCAGCAATTCTCTTGCTCCTCTCTCCCCTGACTTTATCAGCTCCACTAGACCAGAACAAATTATTAGCAAAGGTACTGCATGATTTCAGAGATGAAATGCTAGTTTTCTGTGCAAAGCAGAATGTTTAAAAACAATAAATTCCTACACTTTAGTGGCCTTTTGGGGTCAGGTTACCATAAATTACGTGCTGAGAAATTGTATTAAGTGATTTTCTCAAACAGGTACAATTTGTACAGGCATAACAGGTGTAATAAACTCTTGTCTATGCCTGTATTATACAAGTAGGGATCTACATTACAGTCACATAACTCAGCTCTCTGCTCATTAATATGATTCTATTTTTCAGTCTTCTATTAAAGATTTTGAAGAACAGCTCAGCAGGTAAGGAGGGGCAGAGGGGGAGGAAGAGAATTGTCAGTGCAATCCACTGGAACCTTTTTCTTCAGGAAACCAGGCTGAAAGTTAGGATGGAGAACATTCCTGGTGGTGTTTGACAGACTAAAGATGCTTAGGTACAGTCAAGACTACATTTTGTCCAAGAAAAACATAACTTCATGGACTCCATATACATTTTTTTAAAAATAAAAAATAGCATCCATATCAGAGAATTTTTTTAAAGCTTTTGACTTTCCAATCCCTCCAATAATCACATATCATAAGTAAGGTATTGCACAACTTTGTATATCTAGATTATTAAAAATAATTCTGAAACAACAGAATCGAATTGTAAAAATGTTTGAGCCCTTATGTTTTATATTTAATCCAACATAATGAGAATTGGAGTGTTTTACACCTGATTGTGATTTTCATGCCTGAATTGTCAGGCAGTCTCTGGGACTTAAAAAGAAGGATTTACAATTAACCCCCATGATTCCCCTTCAGCCACAGAAAGAACTCAAAAGCTTAACTTGAAACCAAAAAGCTTCACAGTGGATCTGTTAAGATGTTTAGAAGATGGAAAAATACAGGATATCAGCACCTGGAAGACTCTTGACAATCTAGAAAGAAACCCAAAGATTCTCTATAACCTTAACCCAGGCCATGACAGAGGCACCTGGTGTATTCTCCTCCCACCCATGATTACTCATGGTGGATCTCACTGTTTCTGTGGGCATCCAGAAATAAAAGGAGACTTCTGTCAACACTCAGCAAAGCTCACACACTGACCATGCAAAACAACTCAGTCTCAATACTTACTATCCAACTTCCCATCTTCTGCTATTTGCAGTTGCAATGCTTTTGATTTGGCACTTAGTTCACTGTGAAGGAAATAAAACCATGTTAGGTGTTTGCAGGCCAAGCAAATTTTGCTTCCCACGTAGTTTTTCCCCTTTCCCCAGCTTTTCTCAGCCCTCTCCAAGCCAAACACTGCACTTTGCAGGTGGGTAAGAGTGACTAAAGGATCACAGTCAGAAAACCATGGCCTGGGTCCCTCCCCTACTTTTGCACAGGTTCAATTTGCTGAATTTCAGAGGTTTTTTTCTTCTCCCCAGGAGCTGACAAATGCTGCCCTCCAAGCTGAAGATGGCTCCTAGTCTGACTGCTACACCACAGCACCAAAAAGCTTTGTTTCTGCTGGCAGGACCAAATTTTAAGTCAAGATGTTGGAACAGCCTCAATCAACATCCCTGTCAAAGTAGGAAAGTGTCCTGCAAAAACAGGACAGATGCAAGAAAATGAAAGTAATTAGAGCTTTAAATGAAAAGAGTCAGTATCACTTCTTCAAAACAAGACTCAAGGATGCTGCAAGCCAACAAGAATGAGTTTCTGAATGACAAAACCCAGGTGAACTACTCTCAGAATTACACATGTGGTACTTCCTAAGATGGACTAGACAACAGATACAAACCCTTTCCTCTGAGACACCGAAGTAAACTGGGTACTACTGGTTCCTACTGAGGAACCCTCCTGTAAAAGTTTATTTTAAACCCTTCTCAGCAGGCGTTCTGCCAAAAACCCCAAGGGCATGCAAACATGTATTTTTCATTTTGCTATGTCTCTGCTTCAGGCTGGTGTGATCCTGGCTGCAGACACTCCACCTCCACTAGATGCTGTGGCACATAATCTGTGCCACAGATTTTAAGTTTTTCCCTACCATTTTCACCCTTCCTGCACCCCAAAACTTGGAAAGGAGCACCTTGATGGCACTACTGCTGCTTTGCCATGAAGCTAAAGCAGAGCCTGACACGGTGGTCAGTACAGTGGTGCTCAGAGTGGAGGATATTTTTGGCTCTGAAGAAAGAAAAAGGCAGAGGTTTGTGTGTGGAAACTTGAAAGAAGTTCAAACCCCCTGCCAAAATCCTCATCATTTATCTGTAAAAGCCCCCGAGCTTACCTCATGCACTTCTGAAAAGCAGTGTGGAAACCCCAGCATTATTCCTAGTGTCAAGGCCAAATTCCAGTCAAGTTAATCACATCCTGCCTGCCCTCTCTCAGCCCTTTCATTTGGAAAAGGGTATTATTCTTACAAACTTCCTGTCCCAAACTGCTGGGAACTTGTCTGCTCTGTAACTGAGCACGGGTGCTGTCCCACCAACAGATGGCTGAAGTGGATCACAGACCCAGAGGCTGAAGCACTTTGTGATACTTAATAAAACAAAGTTCATCAGGGACTCCTCCCTTTCATAAACTCATGCACCTCAGAAGCCATTTTTGTTCTGCTGTTAGAAAGTGAAAATAAAAATAGTTTTACACTTTTGACCTTATTTACAGCAGCTGTGTGAATCACAGAATACTGTGTAGGCCGCCTGAAAGTCCCTTGTTTTGTTCTACAGGAAAAAGAAAATCTAGTTAAGTTTTACACTCCCTTTTTACTCATGGCCACCATTCTTTTAGATGGTCAATTTTTTTTGTACATTTGCTTTTTCCACTCAGGGAAGGGAATGGAGAGACATTAGATTACCTCAAACTCAGTTTTCACAGTAAAGTGAGTTCAAAACCTTGCCTGCACTTTTTTTCTGGCACTGCAGGGAAGCCTGAGGTGATTTACTATGCCTGTGACTGCTGTCGTCTACTGGAACCATGTATCTACCATGGAACATCTAGAGATCTGTATCTCATATCCATGCAGAGGGTAATTAGATATCCTGAAGTCCCTACCAGCTCCAGATTTCTCTGAGGCCACACAGAGAAAGGCCAAGAATGGACCTATTTCAAAATGCTTTTCTTCTCTCACACAGTTCAAGAAAAAAGCTGCTTAAGTGTAAAAGTATTCCCAGTAGGTAAGTTACTTACAAGATAAACTCTTCCTTCCAAAAGGGATGTGCAGCATTTTTGGCTACAGAGCTGGAAAACTTCTGCATAGGGTCATTCAACTGAACTATACACACAAGGTCTGTGCTGCCTGTAAGGGCAAGAAAAATCAATAGCCAGTTATTAATGCTCTGTCACCGAGAGGCCACTTACTGAAAAGAAACCTCCTTCCTTGCACGTTGCACTTTTGAACAGACTTTTGCAGACACTTTCTCACCCTCCCACGGAATAAAAATGCCTTCCCTTGGTTTGTACACCGAGGACATTCATGGCAAAGGTCACTATTGCATCACTGCTGTCTTATGAGCTACCCTACATGCTGTGAAACATGACAGCCCAATTTAAATCCTCCCATGAAGCAATAAAATGCAGGCATAAAACGATCCAAAAAGATGGGGAGACAAAGAGTGAGCAGGTGATGTTGTGGGTGTGAGGCAGGGAGGGAGTAAAGCTGCTTTCAGCTGCTTTAAAAAAACCAGAAATTTTCTAAGTTCCTCCTGGCCACAGTCACAGTGATTTATTTGGACGTGAAAATAAGCTTTTTCTGCTGGGAAGTGACTGATGACAGCAGTGCTAATTCACAATGGTTTGTGCACTGTGGTTTTTAACAAGTTTTAAAGCACTGCTGCAGACTTATCTCTGCCTTGATCTCGGAATTCGATAGTGTTGCAAATTGGCATATTAAGAGTAGTTACACTGTGCTCCAAGGGGAAATAGTTTACCAGACTGTTCCTCTTAAAACAGTTTCTTTAATATGCCTTTCACAGCATCAGAAATAATTTAAACCCAGACTTCCAACACATCAAGGAGAGCAACAAAAAGCTCAGTACTGACTGTGTGCAGAGCAAACAAAAGATGCTGCCCCCAGGTCTCCAGAAGAATCTGGGTTTGTATTTGCTCTGAGCAGCTCTCAGTTGTTCTCTGGGGATGCTCTGGGGCCGTGGATCAGGCACAGAGGCAGCCCGGGCCTGGCAAGGTGATTAAGGAGACAAAGCACTGTGTACACACAGCTTATTTGGGATCCAAGCTGAGCCCAGAGTAAGCAGCTGAGCTGCTTTGAGCTCACGGACCTGGGCTGGTTTCTGCTCCCCCAGCCATGTGTCTCTGAGCCTGGTCCTGCTGCCACGTCCCCAGCCCAGGGCAGGGACCCTGCACAGCCCTGCCTGGAAGCAAACCTGAGCCACAAACCAACTGCACCAACAGGGTATTGCAGCTTTTCTGCCATGGACACTCTGCTGTAAACAGTTAACTCCATTTTCCTTACCAGCAGAAATCACTTTTGCCCTAAAGGATTCCCTGTAGATCATGTAGTACAAAATCTAGGGTGATCTTTGTTTACATACACAAACTAATGGAATAAAAACAGGCACAGCCCACAAGGAGAGACCAGTTCTGCCACTGGGGACTCACCAGCTGAATTAAGATACTGACAGGAGAGCCAGAGCTCCTATAAACCCTGTCAGCATCCATCAATCATCCATGGTTTCATCAGCACAGACGAGCTGCCCCTCCCCAGCCCCCTGTGTACCTGTGCAGGTTATCCTGAAATACTGCACAGTCCCAAGGAGCCTGAGTTCCAACAGGGTAATTCATTATTGCAAGGGAGAGCCAGGAAAAGGGAAGGGAATATTAATTAAAAGTCAGCAAGTTATGTCCAGAGGCTAGCACCTTTCCAGCTGTGCAGAATTCCCACTGGATTTCAAGTGCACCAGTTAAACCCCATTATAAAGCTTTATTTCTCATACTCAGTTCCAAATATTTACACTCCAGGAGCTGCTGGGGAACCAGCAAAATTCCCTCCATCTCCTATCAGAAAAGCAAATAGGGATTTTGCCTCCCAACATGTTTTTCCAGAGCAGAGCATATGAATTGTCTCTTTTTCCTCTCATTTTTAGGGAAGGTGCAGTGATTCTCAGAAGGGGAATCTTCTGGGAACTATATGCACACAAAGCTATCTCATCTCATGACTTTTAGAGTGAGGCCAAAATGACCCAATCTTTTGGAAAGTTTAGCTTGCACTACAAAACTGTAGAGTAATAAATCATAAAATGGTTTGGGTTGGAAGGGACCTTAAAGATCAATTTCATTCCAAACCTCTTGCCGTGGGCTGGGACACTTTCCACTAGACTGGGTTGCAGTTGCCAGCATAGTTTTATTGATATAGGACATTTCACAGCCAAGAGTTCCAGAATTGCTTTAAAAAATAATTTGGTTTTTTTAAAAAAAACCAAAAAACCTCCGCAGAGATTTTTAGGGGGATCACTTCCAACGAGGATGAGCAAAGCAGGATTATGCTTTATGCATTACTCTAGGGCAGAAACCTCATTACCTCTAACTGAAAAAAAGGAGAACAGCAAGTAGGATATATTTATCTGAAACTACTGCGTTGCCCAATTTAGCAGCCACAAGCTTCCATTAAAAATACTGTTAGGGAACTGTTTTGTGGCCATAAATAACAGAGCTTCCAAATCTGTATTTCTGCTGACAGAATCTGAGCTGTGCCTGCTCATGCCTCAATCAGTGACAGAGACGTGCCTGCACTTGGAAAAGTCTGAGTACCTGCAAGACAGGCCTGGTGCTGCTTTCCAAACCCAACACTAACTTCACTAGGCAGTGACCTCTTTCTTGGCTTCACTCCCCACTCAAAAGAGGCACCTTCTTCCTTTACCTGCAGACCTATCAGGGGAAAATGTCCTGGCAACTAAAAAATCACCTTTCAAGAGTTTCTAATAAAGAAAGTAAATACAGTTTGAGATGCATCTGTAAACCACTAAAGTAAAGAAAAATAAGGTAGCATTGAATCAAGCCAATGTCATTGCCAGCAACTAATGGAGAGTTGGATTTGAGCCCCTCATCTTGGGTACAGCCAAAATGAGAACTTTTAGAAATTAAAACTAAAAGCCAGAAAATAATCAGCCAGCTTTATAGATGTGGTCATTTCAATCTGTTTTCAGCAATGATGGATTTCTGTACAAGAACAAGATCTTTAAATACTCAAATAAATTAATATATGCATTAAGTCAGCACTGGTACAGGTTGCCCAGAGAAGCTTTGGCTGGCCCATCTCAGGGAATACTCAAGGCCAGGCTGGATGGGGCTTGGAGCTGCCTGGGATAGTGGAAAGTGGGATAATGTCCCTGCCCATGGCAGGGGGTGGAATGAGATGAGCTTTAAGGTCCCTTCCAACCCAAACCACTCTGTGATTCTATGAAGTCTATTTCTCAGAATGCAGCAATTTCTTAAACCACCTTTTGAGAGTAGGCTGTAAACCCTGAACTTCCACATTATCTCACCTGAAAGGAAAGGAAAAAAAACCCCAACCCTGGGCCTGCCCAAAACGGAGCAGCAGCACCTGGGCTGTGTTACCTGCAGCACGGAGATCACTCAGCTTCACCTCGATGTTCCTCACCAGCAGCCTGAGCTCGTGAGCCCTCGGAGGTTTGGGAGGACTTGTGCCCTGAGGGAGAAGGCTCGTGTTCTGTACATTCTGCAAGAGGCAACCAGGACAAGGGGCACTGTGCACATGCCAGCACCAAACCCTTGTGTCACACAAGGGAAGGAGAGCTGAGCTGGGCTGGAACACCAGCAAGGAGCTGCACAAGAGGTGTGACCACAAAACCTCCACTGCCATGGGCTGTGTTGTTCCAAACGTGTGTCCCAGCTCGTTCCTGCCACTGGACACTGTTAAACTTACTCATTTGTGAGCCATGGATATATGCTAAAAGCATGAAGCAGAAGGACACTTCTCAGAAAATTTTGGAAGGAATGAGCCTTACCTGAACCTCCTTTGTATCTGCAGGCCTCACACTCAACACTACAGATGGAGAAGCTGAGCTGAAGAGGTTCTTCAAGACATCTCTGAGCGTTTCAGATATTGCACATGTCCCTGCTGTCTGTTCCTATGAGGAAACAAACAGGCTTCTCAAAACTCAGAAGTTGTTGGGGAAAAATTAATTTGGTATATATCTAAACCACCATAGCCATCAAACATTAACTTTGTCAGAGAGAGACACGTGGTTTCTGTTGCCAACAACAGAATTTTAACAACAGATCATGCAAAGAATTACTTAAATTTCTCCATTAGACATTAAAGGAAAGCTAGACATAAACACCAAAAAATTCATGCTGCTCTGAGAGTTAGGAGGGCACAGCTGTTATCCACAAAACCAGAAGTTTCTGTGACAGTTTTTACCTTATGATGGTGTTTTAAAGATTCTGCACTGCTCTGTACTCCCCTGAGAGAGCAGATCAGGTCAGCAGATAAGCAGATCTGTTCTACTGATTTAATGGGAGTTATGTCAGCCTGCAACAGCTGAGAAGAAACTAATCCTGTGCTGCACTGAAAAAAAAATATTATAGCATCTCCTGGAGGTCTCCAACCTTGCTGAAAAGAGCAGTGTGTGGACAGAGTCATGCTGCTCTGGGGCACTGAGATGTAGTTTGCTCATAAAAAAAATCTCACGACCATCTGTGCTTAGCACCACAACCTCAGAGGGGTCAGAACACACCACAGAATTTTGTGTGCACACATTGTAACTTCACATGATTAATTCTAAGGTGTATGAAGAGAGTGAACTGCCCCTGCCCTCCCTGTGCTCCTGGAGAATGCCTGCTTCTCACACTATGCTCCTCAGGAATTTTCTTCTGCTCAGTAACCTACAGGGCACAGATTTTTACATCAAGCTGTCCCAGAAAAGACAGGCTGAAACACAACAGCTCTGAAATCTCGGTGAGGTTTCTTTTCAAAAGGAAAAGACTGAAGTAGGAGACAAAGATCTGACCTAAAAAGAGAGGACTCATCCATCTTTTCTCATCTGATACCACATTGAGAGACTTCACTGACCTGCACTTTGCACAACAGGTCAAACAGATTGGGAATAACAGCCCTTTCCCAGCTACCCAGGTGTTACAGAAACATTTAGGGTGCTTCACAAAAAAATCCCAGGAATGCTGTGTACAGAAATCCTGTTGTATGGCCTTCTTACCTAACTGGCCTCTGATGACATGCTCAAAATATACAACAGCATTCATACAACAGCAGTCCCACAAAAATCTGCTGCATTTACACCATGTGCCCTCAAATAACTACCAAGGAAACAGAAAATACTCATTCACTTCAATAAAGCAAATTAGTAAATTAGGCTTCTTAAAGCCTCAGTAACAGCAATTTCATCAGTTAAGTTATTTAAATAAGCAGATAAATTGTGGTTAGTCTTCATTGTTTTGGAGGTAATTTCCCTCCCTTTCTCTTGCTTAAATTGTAAATCCCAGTTGCCTCTCGTGCTTTGCCATCAGCCTAACGTGACATCTGTTATTTAATAGTAACAACAGCAACCTCAGTCACTGGACTTCTGTTCGTAGGTATTTGCTCTTGTTTCCATAGTTATTTGGAAAGGAGATTGATTAAAGAGCCTCCTGTCAGCTCTGCCTCATTTTCAGCCACGCTTTTTTTGGGGAAAACTCTCCACCACAACTCCCTCGACAAGACAAGCCATAGTGGCTTACCTGCCACCCCAAAATGATAAACAGGTTTCACTTTGGGTTTGACTTGGGCTAGGGCTGTACACACCACAGCCAGCCTGGGGCACATCAGCACATGAAGTCACCTTGTGTAAATCCAAACCCTACCAGTAAGCCAAGTTGCCCAACACAGCTCAGGTTTACACAGCCATTACCAAAAGAAAATTGGTTATTATACCCAGCTCGTGTGATGTCAAAACCACTGTGGAGATAATCACAAGTAATTAAAGGTATTTATTTGTACACACAGTATTGCTTCCCAAAGAGGAAAAAAACAAGACACAAAAGCTGACAGTGAAGTTTAGAAGCTGAAGCAATTTCTAAGGTGTAGCTTGCTCACAGGTTTTAGCCCTTTGTTCATTGCCTCTCCTCTTCCATAAGTGCTAATACAAACTTCAAAGTGAAAATAAAGCCCTCTAACGAATAAAGAACTTAACAGGCTCATTCTAAAAATGCAGGCAAAGCAGAACAGGTGCAACTCTGCAAAGCTGGACTTGGGAACCTCTCAAAAAGCTGATTGTGAAGTCCAGTGACTCCAGAGTCTTCTGTGTTTGTCAGGAAGGATTTAATACTTAATGACTGTTCAAATGTGGATAATCAACGTGCCACCCCAGCATATGAAGGTCATTTACATGCTACGTGTGCATGGTAAAACCTATATTAAAACATTTCAAAAGGCTTGTCTGTCTTTAGTTATGAGTTTCACATTTTTATGGACAAAAGCTGTGGTAATAAATTATTACGATTGTAGCTCTCTCAGTACAGGTCTTTAGAAGCAGGTCTACCATAAACTTAACTTTTAACAAGGCCTTCAATAAAGAAAACAACTTCACAAAACACAAACAAGTCTTCCCCCACAGTTGTAAGAAACAGTTAAATCACCACATTTGTGCCAAAAATAAAAATTGTGAAGAGGATGTGCCAAAAAGAAAAAATTGTGAACTCTTGCAGGGGATGTCCCAATGAATCAGTGCTCGTATACAAAGATCAGGTGCAAGTCCAAAAGCATCAAAATATTTTTAGGTCATCCTTCATTTCCTTAAATTACTGTATTTTTTACAGCTGTTTCTGATCTATTGTTGTCAGATTTCAAAACTGGTTTAAATTAGGGAAGGAGCAACATTTTAATTACTTTGATGGAAATACCATTTCAACTGGGTTTTTTAAAAATTATTTTAGAAGTATTCTGAGAGAAGGTATTTAGGAACAGACATTTTTCACACTTTGTATTTGGTAAAAGATGTTTGCAAAGTCATTTGTCTGTCAAATACAGACTTTATTTCAGTAATCTTGAGAGGTGTTGCTGGATTTCAGAGATGTAGGGGTTTGATAGATTACCCATAGCAGATGCATTTTGGACCAAAGGGATGGAGACCCACCTGCTCTACCACTACAACAAATAAAACTTACTGACTGACCTCCTGCACTGCTGGCTGGATTTCAAAGTTGATTTCATCGGTGTTAATGAGGAACCACTCAACTTTGACATCTTCTCCTTTGTCTTTCACATAGAGCTGAAGCTGTGGACAGGAAAAGAGTTATTGTAGAGTGTTGTGGTGTCCTGTAAGGAAATTGTAGGTCAATCTCCACACTAAGGATCAGCACAGGAAGAATAGCACCAGTTTCTGAGTGGGTAACTTCAAAGAGACACTCTAAGGAGGCAGAAGCTGCTTAAGCTTTGAGAGTGCATGCCAGTTAAAAAAGGGAATTCTTCTAGATATCCAAGTAGCCTACCCAACATGTTATTTACGGCCAGTCTCCTGAAGAGGCAGCTTAATTTCTGTATTTACCACTTGCCCCAGAGGGCAAACAAAAGGAAGGGAAGAGAGAACAACACTCAAGGCTTTACCTGCAGGTGGACTGGGGACAGCTTCACAAAATACGACTGAGGTTCGGCAGCCGCGGGCGGGGGGGCTGAGACAGCAACGAGGAATTTAACAGAATCTCCCACAACATTGCAAGAAACCACCTGGAGAACGGAAAAGGATAAGGGGAAACGAAGGGAAAAACAAATTAGCCTTCTGAAGGTCTGGTGAAGGCAAGAAAGAAAATAAGAAAGGAATTCAGGCCAGTAGAATTATGCTGAGTTGCACAGGTGGGAAATTACTAAGTGATTTCATTCATGTTCCCACCTCCTCTGCATATTCTTCTAAAAGCACAAAATTCAAGTGTTCAAATCTGTACATGAAATTGAATACCTGCAAATTATGGCATTTCCCAAAATTTCTTTTGTATTGTTACCTAAGGACAAGGGCTCCTTTCCATTTCACAGACCTGTGTATTAAAAGCTCCAAGAGGGCAAAAATGTTTGCTCTTGTTCCTCTTCTGCTCTGATCTAAGTAGCCTACAACAGGACAGCTGATTTACCACACAATCTTTACCTTAGTGGCATCCTACAAATATGAGACTTTGGTATAAACCTACTGCTACAGCTGAGGATTCTGTCTGAATAATTCCTGCTCTCAGTGGGACAGGAAGGAGCAGGAGCCTTTAAGAATTTATTCAAGCCTTGACCAAACCAAGAAAGGCCCTGAAATGTGGTGACAAAGCTAAATGTCTGGGAAAAGTCTGAGTGCCACTTGACTGCAATACACGTTTAGGAGCAGTAATTTAACTTGTTATCACACTGAGTTTGTAAACAGTGGAGAGTTTTTGCTCCCTCCCCCCTCTGCAAACTGAGCGAGCTGCTGGAGCTGCCATGCAGAATTCCTGGAGTGTGCAGAAATTCCTGGAGGATTCCTGGCAGGGCAGGAAAGCCCATGGGGTGGAAGTCAGAAATTATTCATCACACCACAGAGGCGTGTTTGTTTTGCAAACAGATGTGCTGGTCGAGGAGAGCTGCTTGTCACCATCCCTCTGTGGCTGCTGTCCCCACAGCCCCACTGTGGGAAGGACAGCTGGGCTCTCCTGACACTGACTCAGGCAGAGGGAACCAGGTCAATGCAATGCACGGACAAATAACTGCCTGCAAGATTTGTCTGACAAAAACTCTGCATGGTGCTATTAAATTGTGTTTGTGCACTTACTGCTCCACTTCTGGGCACTGGAATTGAAGCTGAAAGCTTTGAAAGGAATCATGTACCTCCTGGAAGATCCTTATCAGGCTCTCTTTAAATACATTTCATCTCCCTGGGCTCTCTGGGGTACATTTTAAGGATGGCCAGGGCTTTATCAAGGGCCTGAGTACATCCATTAAGGTAGAGACTTAATTACAAAGAAGCAGGGGGTGGGGAGGTGGATATGACAAATAAAAATCCCAACCACACCCACAAGCAATAAGATTTGCCTTTTCAGGTTATGTCTTTGCAAATTATAGTTTAGAAGTGGACAAATCAGTTTTCCTCAGCTCTCCCCTTTACCGAAGTCCAGATTCCTCCAGAAGTGATTTCTGACCTTAAACCCACACAAACAACACTAATACCCAGTATTATGGTAAAATATAAAGGATTTTTAATAGCTAACAGGAACAAAGAACCCAGCTGCTTGTTTTACTTGTACTTGAGATGAAATAGAATCACTCCTTTCATTCAAAGTAATTGACACAATGACTCTTTAAAGACTTCGAAAAGGAAAAGGTTCTTCCCTCTTTTTTGAGGGAAGAAGAGGAAAAAGGACAGGTCTGATGCAAAAGCTGCTGACACTTCCATATCCTAAATGCAGAGTTTTATCATCCACACATGTTTTTTTTCACACATCCACAGGAAGTTCAGTGCATTCAGAACAAGTTGGACTTGCTGTACATGCAATGCAGAGCCATTCATCTGGAATTTCTGGATGTCCAAGAGCCAAGGTTGCCAGGTACGTGGCTGATTAATGTTTTTAAAAGAAATAAAAGTGTGGCCAGAGAGCTGGAGATGAGTTCATGCGCCATTTGTTTCTTAATCATGTTTATTTCCAAGTAAAGGATGCAAACAGACACTGCAGGTGGTGGAACTTTCATTTTTCTGTCCGCATTTTGTCAAGAGATGCTAAATCAGTTTTTTCTATATTTTTTACCTTTCATTTCAAAGCCCAAACCAGTGGAGTTTGGACTTTTAGTCTCCTTGATTAATTTATTTTCTGCCAATGACATCTACTAAGCTCTACTCCTCTTCTGCCCTCATTTTTTCTGAAAAAACTGTGGTATTCACATACAGCCGCCTGTCAATTCTTAATCCAATCATGTTTGCAAATGGAAAATAATATGTATTTATGTCAGGTGAATTTGTTCTGGGAGCAGGATGGGTGATGGAGTCAGAATACTGAGAGAAGCAGAACTCTGGGCTAGAATTTGAAGAGAAAGCAGCTTTGTTTTCATCTGTGATGCTGCCACAAGTGGTGAAAAGGTGATTAAAGAGACTGCAAGTGCTGCTTCCCTTGCTGAGTGACATGCCTTTAGAAGTGCAGCAAGTGAATTTGATAGACCCAAGCAGAAATATGTAGGCCATTTCCCCCATGGCAGGCACACAAAGAATAACACTGAAGCTTCCCGTGCTCTGCTCCTTCTCCCCCTTCCTCACTCCAACCTGCTTCTCCAATTCATTTTCTCTGCACAGATGAAGAGCTGCAGAAGGGAGGGCCAGGCAAAGCACCCCTTTCTGGTTGGCAGGGGGAGAAAGAGGAAGGATGGGTGTCCACAAGAAAACAGAGGAACCTGGACTGAAAGGAAGATAATTCTCTTGCAATTTCATTTATATTCCTCATTCTCTCTCCCACTCCCCTTACCAGAGACATCCCCAGTTAGCAACCCTTTGTGTTTTAGTCTAGAAAACCTGTCACTTTTGTAACAAACTGCTCTTGAAAAATCAAGCCCTGCACAGCAGCTGGGACCAGCTGAACTCCCAGAGGGGTCACCCCCAGCTCCCTCTTGTGATCCTAAGTCTGGACAGGACACATCTCCTAAATTAGCAGGAATAGGGGGAGGTGAAGTAGCAGCACAAAGAAACCAAGATCAAGGTATTTTCTCCCTCCAGCATCTCCCTTGGCACAAACACCCTTCTCTCCATGTGCTTTGGGGATCTCCCATGGAAGGAGCTCCCAGCCCCTCCTCAGGTACCTTTGTGCTCTGCCATTCCTCCCCACACACAGCTGGTACTTCATCACCCCACTGGCAGGGTTATTCCTGCTGTTTCCAGCCTCTCCTCTCCATCCCTGACCTGACATCCTCATGATGGGATGAGCTGCAGTGGCCAGAACTCCCAGACCTGGCTGGGCTCAGTTCCTCACCTGGGAACACTGGTACCCGGCTCCTCTGAGCTGCAGATGCTGTCACACAACGTGCTCACACATATCTAAAACTTACAATTATCCTAAAACCAATTCTCTTCCAGATAAACAAGTGCAGGAACAAAGGAGACTGAAAAAGCACAGTGGTTTGAGCAAGACTGCTTTCCTGAGAAAGCCGAGTGTCCACACAGCTATCGAGTATTTGTGTACTCACAGCTATTAAAACCCTTCCCCTGCTTTGCCCTCCCCCTCTATATTCAGACTTTTTCCCTTTGCAGTTCCTCTGGACAGGCTCCAGAATCTCAGTTTTTTCCCTCCTGAAGTAGCAGCAGAAGCTGCTTCATCTCAAGCATCACCATAATGCTCCTCACACACGGTGTCCTCTCGCCTGGAGGTTTCAATTTTGGCACTGGCACCCCATTAATTGGTGCATTTCACATTCCCTTTTCTTCACTCTTCCCTCCCCAAGTGCAGCAGCAGGTTCCCTCCCTGAGCTGAAGGGCAGTGACTTCAGGGGGAAGTTCTGATGGGGAACATTTCCCTCACCTTCCCCACTGAGCACACTACATGTGTTTGTAAAACCCCAGCAGCAGGGGCCTTGATTGCCTTCTTTGTTTGTTTTCTAGAAGGAAATTAATTTTACTGCACTTGGTATTTACTTTCAGAAAGAGCAGGTTACTTGAGGTTACTCAGTAGTATGTAAATAATACAAATATTTAACATTTTCACAAGAAAATAAGAATCAACCATAAGGCAGCCACACAGTGAAAGTTGCCTTGATCTCCCTGTAAGATTTAGGACCCTCACAATTTCCCATATGTCTCACAGGGTACTACTATGAGCAGGCTCTTATTTTTGGCATGGAAAACTGATCTTGTCAATGCCCATACAGACAGTTTGTGTGCTCGGCTGAAAACCTCACCACAAGAAAATTTTTCAGGTCAAAACTTCTGCCTTTTGACAGTCATTAGCACTCAGCTGCTCAGAAGAATTTCATGATCTTCTTGGTTACCAGAGCCAATTCCTTCATTTCTTGAGGGGGTTTCTCCACCTTCTTCACCCAAACAATTGACCAAATGACCAGAGCAAATGAAGGGGAGATGACAAATGCAATGTCTAACCCAGGCACAGGCAGGTGTGGATTTTTAGCAGTCAGTACCAAACTGAATTTGCCTGTAAATAAACTGAAAACCTCAGACCAGTTTCCCAAATGGTGGTAAACACCACGGTGAAGGCAGGGTGAGGGATGGACTCAGTCAGCAACAGAAACAAAGCAGAAGTTGATGGAACATGTGAATTTATCCACTCCTTTGAGACCAACACATTCAAATTCAAATAGGTGGAAAAAATGGGGAGTGAGGGAATAAAATAAACAAGCAGTGAGTACAAGGAGACAGGGCAGGAAGAATTTTCAATCCACATAATAAGTTAAAATGAACATCAAACATTGCAAAGACAGGATGCATTACTTATATTTCAGAAAGGGGAATACAAATCAATACCAGAACCAGAATTGCTAGTTTGGCCTCAGTATCATGCAAGCTTTCCAAACCATCTGAGACACAGCACAGCTGAAGACACAGAGACCAAGAGGAGACAGAAAAAACCCCGGGAGAGGTTTGCCAGTTTGTGCTGTGGTAGCTTGGAGAATAACTCACTTGCAGAAACAGTTCCCCTGTGTCAGGGTGCTAAGGCTTCCCTGATCCCTGTGCCAAGCTGGCAGATGTGGCACAAGCCTATAGGAGGCCCACACACGTCTGCAGGAGCAGCTGGAAGACACAGAGCCAAACCCAGGATCACCTTTGCTCCAGTGAAGCAAACAAACCCCCACACTCTCCCTCTGACAGGGCACTCAGTTCTGAAGAAGGTTAGCTCATAATGTTGTCTTGTTTACTTCTGTAGCCTCACCCCACTAACAATTAATCTTGTACTCCATCACTCCCCCATTAAGGTGAACTGGGATGTTTGAAAGGGAGAGTATAGTACAGTGAGCTGGAAACAGGTTACCAAGGATTCTTTCAGACACCAAACCTATTGCACAGTTGAAGTCCAAAATACCCCAGGAGAAACTTGAAAGAAAATATGATGCTCAGGAAAGCAAGCTGGGAAGTAGCAACATAAAGGAAGATTAGGTCATCACACAGGAAAGCTGCAAGACCTTGAAACGTAGGAGGGGAATGCAATACAAAATACACAGTGTGTGTGTGTGTGTGTGTGTAAGAATTAACAGCTACTGCTCACACAAAGGACAGCTTATCACTGAGAGCACCATAGGGAGAGAGACCTTGATGCAACAAGGCACTCACAGTGTGAAGCAGCCACAGGAGAGGCAGATTGGAGCCCAAAACCCCTCAGGAAAATACTTCCAGAGACTAAAAGAAGCTGCCTCCTTGTATTGTGAGACGTCACCTGTAGGGTTGTGTGGCCCTTCAGCCATCAGGTTCAAAAATACGGATTTAATTGGAGCTGCTGCTGATAATGGGTGCATAGGAGAGACTTAGGACAGCAGTGTAAAGGGAGATTTAAGGGCCAACTTAGTAGGCAAGCTAAACAAAAGCTGAAAGGAAATATAATCCCTTCATAATACATTTACTGACAGCAAGCAACATGGAAGAAGTCAACACATTAAGAAGAATGGATTGTATTAGTGCAAAAACTTAAAAAAGCCAAGGAAAAAATCTCCATGGGTCATAATTCCAACTAGGCTTGTAAAAAAACCCCAGTCATTAAAGAAGCAAAGATATGGGATGGCTTTCAAAGCCAAATGGGAAGTTAAAAGACAACAGGAACTGAACATCACGGTCAGGGTAATTCACCCCACCAAAAATAATCAGAAATAAACACACTTACATAACTAGGAATGGTCCCAGTTAGGAGTGCAGCAGTGACACTAAAGGAATGGCACTCTGAAGGAATTTTACCCCTTTCCTTTTGAGCATAAAGCAGAAAAAGAAGAGAGACTTCTGTCACAGCCTGCTCCATCCAAACCCTCTGTGCCAAGACTCCAGCAAGAGAATCTTCTTTTTTGTTGCCTTTTTTGTTGCTGTTTCTGTTGTTAAGTTCAAGTCCTCTGGAAATAGACTGCACTAATGGAAAGGCTGGCAGTAAAAGCTAAGGCTAAGAATATTTCTAATGTTTACTTTATTAAACCAAAACAACCAATGCCACACAATGAAAACAGGCCACTTCATTCTATATATTTAGGCTCTGGCCCAAAATCGGAGTGAAGGCAACACACAAATGGAGGCTTTATCAAGGGGCAGTGTGGTGTAACCTTCAGCCACAGAGCAGCTCTGTTCCTATCACCACAGCTTGGGCCAAGCTGAGAAGCAGCAGCATTCCCACCATGTCTGCAGCACTGCACTGTGCAGCACACACCAATTTCTGTCAGAACTTTGAGTTTGGGCAAGCTGCAGAGAGAGGTTTCCATTTCACACACAAACATTAAGAGTTTGAAGAGGACAGGGAAAAAAGAAAACACCAAAAAAAAAAAAAATCCAAACAACCAAACAACCTTGGTATTACCTCAGGAAATACAGGACACAATTATCATATAAGAGAACTCCTGAGGTGTTTAGAGAAAGGTATGCATTTAAAGAAGAAGGAAAAGTAGCTACCAGACTGCCATTCTAAGGTTATTACACCCTGTAATTCAAATAAGTAATCAGGTTGTACTTAACAGAAGGAATAAGAATGATTCAGAGAACTTTTTCCAGCTGTGGACAAGACTATTGAAATGGGTTTTGGCCCAGTTCAGAAGAACACAGTGTATGAAAACAAACCTGTTTTATTCCAATAAATTTTAAAATGTGCTTCTATTGGTCTAAGCTGTTTTGAAACCATGTCAGATTTCTGTCTGCAGTGTAACACCTTGACTAAGATGCCAGAATGGCTCAGCCCAGCCCTGCCTGTCCCTTCCAGCAACATTTTAGACACTGCACTGCGAGACACCAGTTTTTTTTGTGCTGTTATTTGCCAGCTTTTATTTCTAACAGCTCTCCCTCAGGTCCTGGCTTCACACATGACACAGCACATCACTTTCAGACCTAGCAGTGCCCTCTCCTTACAATTTCCCATCGTGGCATCTTCCAGTGGCACAGAATAACACTTGTGCCAACCCCACAGCCCTACCAAGTCCAGTCTCTCCAGCCCCATTGCTGGGACAAGGGATCACTGGCACTGAAATAAATTCTTTAAAAAAGGAAGAAAATAAGTACACAAACAGCTTTACATGTTAACAATCCCCAGCTGCCACGCAGTCAGGGTGTGTCACTAAGTTGTGTATCAGGCAGATAAGCATGCATAGTTTTCAAAGGAATCATAGTAGAGCTGCTTAGCATCTAAATCAGACGAGCAAAGCAAAATAAGAAAGCAAAACTAAAAGAAAAGCATTAGCCTAATTTGATGCAGGTGCCAGTACTTACAGTCACTAGGACAAAAATGCAGGAGCTATCATTGCTAATAAACATATATAGATTTTTCCCCCTTTTAATGCATTTTTACTGTTCCAAGAGCCACATAGTTCTGCCTTATTTTAATTTCACAGGCACTGATTCACCTCCCAGTGTTTGTAGTGGGAGAGGAGGAAAGAAATCACTTGCTCCTCACTGAATACAGGGTCCAGCAGATCAAGACTTCACCCTCAGGACTCTACACCTGTTCCACTGATCCTTACTCAGCTCCCACTTAGGAAGCAAACCTGTCATTAGCCACACAAACAGCAAGAGGCAGACAAAGATGTTTGCCTGTCCCAGAAGACAAATTTCTTTCTTCTCAATGAAGTTCCCACTACACATATCAGCAATAGGATGGGGAAGCATCATCAGGACTGTGGAGGTGGGGGAGAGGGCTGCTCCATGAGCTCATTGAGGGCGTAGCTATAAACTTGGCATAACCGTGGTTATTGTGCATTTGGTGGAAACCCTGGAGCACGTTCTGCTCACAACGTGCAAAAGAAGAGAATCAATGCAGAGAGTTTGCACAGGTTCTTTACAGAGGCAGCCTCTTACCTGCCTCGACAAACACAGGTCAAGGGTACAGATCTATTGACAAATAAAAGTTCCACTGATACTAATAAAACATTTCCTGACTCGAAGTACACTGAAAGGCAACAAATCCAAAGTTTACCTTCTCTCCAGCTGACTTTACAACACTGGTAACTTCTTTAACTGCTAGCTCAAGTGGTTCTGCTGGGTCATCTTCCTCAAATGTGAGCAATTGAGAATCCTAAGAAACAAGAAAAAGAAGAAGCATCATTAGGTGATGAACCCATCAGTTGAAAACAAGTGATAAAAATGCACTGCCAGTCAAGTCCCTGGAATTGCAAATGTATGTCAAAACTTCCATGTATTAATTGCATGACACCTCACTACATAATACAGGGTAGAGCCTGAAAACATATACTTAGGACATAACTATGGGCCTAATCATAAGTCATCCTTCCCTGTAGTAGAATATCAAGGTACACAGTGCAGAGCCAAGTCTGTGAACAGCAACAGGGTTCAGCAAAACTGCTGTTCTTCAGCAAAGATTTATCAGTGCTGCAGTTTGAAACAGCGTGTTTGGTTTGGCCCACTAATACAGCTGCAGCAGGCCACGCCAAAACTAAGAAACTCCAAATATCATCTTGCAGAGGTGAGGAAAGAAGCCTTCCCCTGCCCAGCCCTCCTCATCAGCGAAGGCAGACAGTGATGACAGACACTCAGTCTTCACACAGACAGCAAGGCGAAGGCAGCCTTTGGGCACTGAGGTCATACCTTCAGAAGCATCAGCACCGCATTCTTCACCTGCTACCCACACCGAGCGCTCAGCCCCGCTTCCCTCATCACCCGAGGCTGTTTTGCACGCAGGAATTTCATTAGCTTCGTGCTGCTGACATTGTTTTGGGAGGCTGACAGCACACTGCAGTGCCAGGCGCTGAACTCCTGGCTCCCTGCTCATCTGGGCAGGGAGGGTGTGCGTGTCACTGACCAAGGGGCTTTTCCCTCTGGTCAGGGACAGGAAGCTGCCACTGGTGTCTGGTCACTTTCCGTTCCCAGCACCTGTGTTCAAGCTGTCTGGACCCTTCTCTTCCACAAGTGCAGGGCAAACCAAGCTTTTCTCTCTTCTCAACCGCACCACGCAATTTGAAAGGGCGGACAAAGTATTTTCTTTCTGCTGCCCAACTTACAATGATATTTGGAAAGTGTTAATTTTTATTCCTTATCTTTCACACACACATGCTGCCCCACTCTTCCTTCTTCCCCAGCCTGCTCCCCGACACGTAAAGAAGGAACCTCTTGGTCTAAGACGCACGAAAATTCAGAGACCTGGGGACATACCACTTCCTAGAGTTTATCTTCAGCATTCTGCACTGACACGACAAGGGTTCAGTCCTCAGGACAAGGAAATCAGCTTGCCACAGCCTCACCTAACCTCCTCACCTCACATACCATTAGACACCAACGCGCTGCATGCCACGCTGCGCCTTTTTCAGGAAGGGCAGGTTAGGATGGGAAGGAATGCCACGTTTTGTGCATCCTCCCTGACCCGGGTCACAGACCAAACCCTGAGCATCCCATGCACCATACCGCGGGCTCGGAGGAGCCCTTGGAATTCCACCACACACACACACACACATCGGTTCAGCAGGGCCTGAGGAACGACCGGGGAAGCCCAGCTCTGGGAATTATTTGCCGAAGGACGGGCCGCAGGCCCAGGCCAGGAAGTTTCCATTGTTTCCTTCTCCCCACGGCCGAACAATGTTATCGGCGGAGCGAACCCCTGCCAGGGGCTGCGGGGGTCGGGGCTTTCCTTCCTCTCCATCCCTCCCCGCTCCCACTCCGTGCCTCTGGCCAGCTCCCTGCTAAGCAGCCACCAAACACGCACGTGTAAATACACATGGAGGGTCAGGAACACACCCGGTACATCCCTGCAGCAAGTCCCGGCGTCCCTAGAGCCGCTCCTCGCAGCGGGGAGCGCCCGGAGCCGCGATGCCCCACGGCCGGGACGCGCTGGCCCCATCGCGGCGGGCGTGGAGAAGCCGCCGCCGGGCATCCCCCGTCCCTTCCCTCCCTTCCCTTCCCTTCCCTTCCTCCGGCCGCCCATCCATCACCTGCAGCCCGGCACTCACCGCCCGCTCCGCCGCCTCGGCTCGGAGCGCCGCCACCCAGGCCCGCCGCCACTGCCGCCTCCAGCTGCCCCGCGACAGCGCCCAGGCCAGCACCGAGCCGCCCTCCTCCAGCAGCTCGTCCCGCTGCTCCGCCGGAGCGGCGGCCGCCGGCGGCGCCGGGCGGCCCCTCCGCAGCGCCAGCAGCGCGTACTGCACCAGGTACACGGCCAGCGTGGCCAGCGCAGCCACGAAGAGGGCGACCAGCGCGCCCCAGCGCAGCTCGGCCAGCCCGCCCGGCAGCCACGCCATGGCTGACCATAATGGGGCCCCGCCACTCCGGAGCCGTGCGAGGCGCGCCCGGCGGGGAGCGGCGGCCGCAGCCCCGCGCAGCGCTCGCTCGACCCGCGGGCGCCGGCGCAGGGACCCGACCCGGCTGCCCTGGGACGCGCCGCGCTGCCCCGCCCGCCCGCGGCACAGTCCCCGCCCCGGGGCGGTGGAGAAGGGGCCCGGCCCCGGCCGCAGGCACGGCCCCGGTGCCGGCTCTGGCTCCTGCCCAGCGCTGCCGGCGTGGGGGCGGTTGCTCGGCCCGCCGCGTCCTGCAGCGTGGCGGTGATGGGCACCTGGTGCCCTCGGGGATACGACAAGGTCATGATGTGCTCCTGGTACTCTGCAGTGAAGGAGATGGGGATGCTCGGGATGGGCACCTGGTACCCTGGAGTGAAGGGGATGGGGATGCTCGGGATGGGCACCTAGTATCCTGGAGTGAAGGGAATGGAGAGGCTTGGGATGGGCACCTGGTACCATGGGGCAAAGGGGATGGAGAGGTTCGGGATGGACACCTGGTACCGTGGGGTAAAGGGGATGGAGATGCTCGGGATGGACACCTGGTACCGTGGGGTAAAGGGGATGGAGATGCTCGGGATGGACACCTGGTACCGTGGGGTAAAGGGGATGGGGATGCTCGGGATGGGCACTCGGTACCGTGGGGTAAAGGGGCCCAGGGAGCTCCTTGTGCCCCTGAAGGCAGAGGAGTTCAGGGTGGGTGCCCCGTGCCCCCAGGCTTGGAGTGGAGCGGGTGCACCTCAGAGGGTAGGGGGGACACGGAGGGGGCACCCAATTTCCCAGCTCCCAGCCAAAGACCCTCCCCTGATATTTTTTCCCAATCCACATGCTAGAACAGCCCTTGATTACGTTATGAAAGCTGGTTATGCAATGTCATTGTAAGATCTTGCTCCACTTGGCTTTCAGCCCCTTCAGAGCTTTGCCTTAAAGAGCAGGAGCATATTTTCCTTGCTGGAAACTGGAATTCCAGACCAATGCAGTGTGTGCCGTGGACCACAGAGGGGAATTCCCGAGGCTCTTGTGGTGCTGGTTCTGCTGTGCAGGTGCAGGTGACAAGGTCCCAAAGCCGTGTGGGCTCCCAGAGCAGACAGCAAAGGCTTCTTTGCTGGACATTCCCAAGCACATTCCCAGCTCGAAGCAGAGGCAAAAAAAAAAAGGAAGCGAGGAGCTGACAGAATCCTGGAATGCTTGCAGCTGGAAGGGACCTGCACAGCTGTAAGAGCCCATGAGGGAGAGATGCCTCTGCCCCAATGAAGGTGCAAAGGAGACCATATGAGGACAACATACGGATTTTATTTAACATGGATTTTATTTAACAAGAGAGGTACAGTGGTAGAAAGAAATAGGAAAGATATCTCAGAGAGAGAGCAAGAGATAACTAGTTGGATTTAGAGGACCTTAAGGTCCTTCCCTTCATTCTGTGGTTCTAGAAGATATGTGGGTATTTATTTTAATTTGATAATATTATTTACTTCTACAACTGTTTCATCTTCTTCATCATCAACTTATTTTTACTACTACTTCTATTTATTTTTTTGTTCTTATTCTTGATATTATTGTTTTTCTTCTTATTATTACTACTACTATTTCTCCTTATCTTCTTCTTCTTATAATTCTCCTTCAACTTACTATTCTTATTCCTTGTTCTTATATACTACTATTATTTCTTCATCATCTTATTCTTATTCTTATTCTTATTCTTATTCTTAATCTTATTCTTAATCTTATTCTTATTCTTATTCTTATTCTTATTCTTATTCTTATTCTTATTCTTATTCTTATTCTTATTCTTATTTATTTGGGCTTTTTTTGTTGTTTTTTTTTTGTTTTTTTGGTTTTGGTTTGGTTTGGTTTGGTTTTTTGTGGTTTTTTTGTTTGGTTGGTTTTTTGTTTGGGTTTTTTTTGTTTTTTTTGTGAGTGGAGAGGTTGTGGTCTTTTTTTCTTACTACTTCTGTTTCTTAAATTCAACCTTCACTGTTTTGGATAAATGATTTGTGTTGCAGTCCTGCAGTGACATCTCTGGAGAAACACCTCTTGTGTGCCCATTCCTCACGGGCACAATCCCAAAGGACCAGAATGTAATCCTTCCAGGATAATGTGTGCCCATTCCTTTGGGAAGGGCACAATCCCAAAGCATGTAATCCTTTCAGGATGAGAGAAAACGGCCTTCCATTCTACCAGGGGAGGTTCAGATTAAATCTTTGAACAAGTTTTCCCTGACACAGTGGTCAGGTACTGGAGGAAGTTGCCCAGGGAAGTGGCGAAGTCACTGTCTCTGAAAGTGTTGAAGAGTTGTTCAGATATGGCACCTGGGGATGTGGTTTTGGGGTGATGATGGCAATGCTGGGGTGCTGTGTGACCATCAAGGTCTCTTCCCACCTTGACGATTCTCTGGGATTCACCCCTGAGCCACTCTGCACCAAGTGCCCCCCACGGCTGCTGCTTTGGGGCTGGCCACACCAGTAACTTTTGGACTTGGGGAGATTCCCTTGGGAGGATGCAGAACAGCTGGAGATTGCTGAGCCTGGAGGGATGTTGTTGTTGAGATAGCTGTTGAGATGGTGCAGGTAAAGAAGCAGGAAGGGCCTTTGCAGGTGTTTCACAGAAATGTTTATTTCAGCCACGCGTGTGCACAGTCCCGGGGTTCAGAGGCAAAGGCACAAGGCTGGGCTGAGGGGCTGGGTTAAGTACATGGGGGTTCTGGGGTGGGGGAAGAAGTATCAGAGACCAATTACCAGGGGACATGGGGGTGAGGTTAGGGAATAGAGAGCCAACTGGGAAACAGGGTGGGAGTGACTGAAAGGCTGAGGGGCAGGGAAAGAGCAGGGAGCTGACCCAGGGAACAGAACAAGAGTTGCTTTGGCCTGGTAGAACAGGGCTTGTTATGAGAGAGGGCAGCTGAGAGAGGCCTCTTGCGTCTCTCTAACTGGGAGTGCCTTTCAGGATCTCCACAAAGGGACACATCCAGGCAAAGGCAGCCCGTGTGACACCGGGCAGGCTCTGGGACGGGCGTTCCTTGGGGAGAGCCGGCTGCTCCCTGAGGATCTGGGCTCATGGCTTGGAAAAGCAAAAAGTGCAGCTGAGCAGGACAGACTTCATGAGGTTCAACAAAGCCAAGGTCCAGGTGCTGTGCCTGGTCCGGGGCAATTCCCAAGTCCCAGATTCATCAAGGCTGGAAGAGCCCTTCAAATTAGTGCTGCCTCCCCGGCCACTCCCAGCACTGGAAAGTGTTGGATCTGAGATTGCCCCAAGTCCCATGTTATAGAAATAAGCACCATAACTTATAGCTATTCATAGTTATTTTATTATAGTTATTTAATTAATTTCATTTTTAAAGCTGTGAACACAGTTTACAAAAAAGAAAGGGCTATGTTCAGTCACTGCAAGTAAAATAACAAATACAAAAGCAAATACATTGCAAAAAGATAAAATGAACTTTTCCCAATGATTCTCTTCCTCTGTGCTCCAGAGTCTATTTTCTACACATGAAAGGAAGAGAAGGTTCATAAGAGGCCATACATGCAGTCTAACATGAGGTTTGAAACAAGTGCTTCGTCAGGAGAGTGTAACAGTGTAAAATGTGCTTGGTTTGTCAAAAACTGCATATTAGCCAGCAGAGCTTTTTGTAGCATTCTAAGACACTATGTGATGCCACCCTTACCTGCCAGGTGGCTATAACCATGTCTTTATTGAGATTTTATAGCTCAGCCTGTGGTGGAACCACTGCACACTCCTCACTGACAGCTCTGCTGGCAGAAACAGACCTGGAAATCTTAATTCCTGAAATGTGATGCCTCAGCATGTTACACCTCGTGGAAGAAGGGATCACTTCTTCTTTCACATGAGCATTTCAGCCTTTCTCCCAGAGACAGGTAGCAGCCCTGTCTGTCCTGCCTGCTGGCTGTGGCAGGTTTGCTCAGGAGCTGTGGGGCCAGGAGAGGCACAATGCCAAAGCCAGAGCGCTGGTCCCCCGTGTTGTCCTGCCCTCATGTGCACTCTCCAGTCTGTTTAGGTGAGACTCAGCACGTGTGACACATCCCATCCTGTCTGAGTCAACCCTTGTGACAGCTATTTGAGAAGGAGGGTGATGGGTGTGCAAAGACAGAGCAAGGGCCAGGTGGGATGCCCAGGAGCCTCTCTGCAAGGTGTTCAGCAGCCTGGCACCAGGGATGTGCCACCAAGCAAGTTTCCATAACTTGGAGCTGGTGTGGGGACGAGGAGGCTGGCACACATCTGGCTCTTGATCTGGAATAACCCTCCAAACTCGTGTCTTCCAGAGAACATCCTCTTCTTAATGAAAGAGTCTTGCTCCATACAAAAAACCTGAGAGGTGATGACATCATTAGACCTCCACTTCAACTAACTGCTCTTATTTTCAATTCATTTGCAAAACCAGGAGACATCTGATCTATCCAAACACCAATCTCTGTAGAAGAAAAAGTAATGTGTACACCATGACCTCATAGCAGAAAAACTGCAATTCATTTAAGGTCATTCATTTAGTTCTCTGCCCAAATGCCTACAATCTCTTAATTGCTTAAGAAGACACACTGCCAGGAGCTGAGTGTTTCATTAGGTAAGAAATTAGCTTTGTTATTAAAATACAGGTCTGGTCTTAAAAATGTCTTGAAAAAATCACCATACCTTATGAATATAATTGTTGACAAATTGGCTAAGTTTCAGAGGAAATGGGTCACAATGTTTTATTTTGACCAATCATAATTTTGAATTATGTATTTAGATATAAAGCAAAGCTGCAGAGCCATGTTTCAATTCTATGTGAATTGACCCAAGTTGGTTCACCCTGGACGCTTGTACTTGCTTTTGAAGCCCTTCCTGCACCAATAATACATCCTGTCATGAGGTCATGGTTTAATCCAAAACCAGACCACAAGAAAAAACAACAGACAAATAATGGCAGCATGGTGTTTGTATTAACCATAGGCCTGTATACCACCTGCTAATTTTATAAGTGTCATTATTATAACATAATAATTTTGCTTTTCCTTGTAGGATCACACTTTTCCCTTTCTCCAAACCTGGCTTCAAACTGAAAGACAGCCAGGTTTAGATTAGATTTTAGGAAGAAATTCTTCCCTCTGAGGGTGGGCAGGCCCTGGCACTGGGTGCCAGAGCAGCTGCCCCTGGATCCCTGGAAGTGTCCCAGGCCAGGTTGGACACTGGGGCTTGGAGCAGCCTGGGACAGTGGAAGGTGGGGAATTGGATGGGTTTTAAGGTCCCTTCCAACCCAAACCATTCTGTGATTCCATATCTGATAATTAATCTATTCTGAGTGGTAACAATTTTGCAAAAGGGACAAAGGCTAACAACAGACATTTTGCTTGGAATGTACCTGGCAGTGCAATTGAAAAAAGGAAAATTATTTTTGGGACTATTATTTTTTCGATGATGATGACTCTTCAAAAATATATTGACCAAAACTTCATTGAAATATCCCGAGTTTTTAGAAAGGAAAACACGCCAAGCTGTTTTGTTTGTTTGTTGGTTTTGTTTGTTTTTTTGTTTGTTTGGTTTGGTTTTTTGTTTGTCTTTTTTGTTGTTGTTGTTTTGGGGGTTTTTTTTTCCCTTTTTTTTCCTTTTTTTGGCGGTTTTTTTGGTTTTTTTTTTCTTTCCTCCTTGATTTTCACTGCTGGATCCTGCTCTTTTCTCTCCACCAGAGAGCGCCAGGATCCCCCGAGGTGCTGATGCTGACACTTCCCAGGGATGTGCGCTTCTCCCGGGCAGTACAAACACCCGTGTGCCCCTCAGACAAATGCCTGGGGACACCCAGACCAGCTGGCTTTGGGAATGTGGGACATCAGAAAGAACTTGGTAAGTAGCAAAAAACATCTTCACGTTTTAGACTGAGAGCAGCAGCACTTCAAGGAATTTTGTAGGAAACCAACAGGCTTTGAAAAATGCCTTCCTCCAGAGGAACAGTGAAAATGCTCCAGTTCAGCTGGATAAGAAAATCCAAGGACCTGTGCACGTATTATAGCGAGAGGGCTTCACCTTCAGCGTGGTGCTTTCGAGTATGGCTCTTGAGGTGCCTGTGACGGTGCAGTCTTTTGTTTCTGTCTCCTCCTTGATGCCTGTGCACAGCATTAGAGGCACACAATAGATTATAAGATCATCTCCATAAAAGAGATTCTATGTGATTCTCCCTCTCTTAAGCCTTGTAGTAAATACTTGGTAAAATACACCCAATTTCAAATCTCATTTTAGTGTCTGTGAATCTCTCCAGACTTAGAATTTGATATTTTTACAGGTTTTTTCCTCACGCTTTTAAAAAATGCATTTACATGTCTTTACAGACCTCTGTCAAATTTCTCCTGAAACAAATAACCTGAATGTGATCTAACAAGGCAAAGTTTTCTTCTTGTGGCATTTGGCTGCTCAGATGATTGATGTGTAAAGAAGCAGCAGCAGCAAATATTGCACAGCTGTGTTTGTCACACCTGGGGAAGCCCACAGGATGTGCAGTATTTAAAGTCTGTTCCAAGAGCACCAAAACTTCCCCTGGTGCAAGACTGTAGAGGAAATATTATTAAATATCTTTTGGGTAGTTTTTTTCCCCCCATAAACTGTTTCATAGACTCTATAGCATAAATTAATGGATGACAAGAGTAATGGATGCAGTTTCTGTTTCAGCCAAAAAGGGTTAGAGGTGTCACACCCCAGGAACACCTCATTCATTAGGGAAGAAAGGAATAAGTGGGAATCAGAAAGAGCCATATTAATCACAAATGACACCTTAAAATAGAGGCTGGATTTTTTTTCCTTGCTGTTCTTTTTGGCAGGGTCACAGCATGCTCTCTTCTGTATCTTACATTCTCCTGCTGTTGTCATTGTACTTTCTCTGACCTCTTCTTCTGGCTCGTTGCCCTTTGTTCCTCCAGCCACCTGCCTGCAGAGCCTGCAAACCCCAGCATGGTCTCTTCCTTCCAGCAGAGGCATCCCTGGATGTCAGCAATCCCAGCAGGTTTTTAACACCAATAGACTTCACTGGAGAGATGCACGTGGCTGGGTGAGAGCCTGAGCCCTCAACTATCAGCTCAAGCTGATGACTACAACCAGGGCTCCATGATACTGAAGAGCTGAATCCATCCCAGATCCTGGACTGACAAGACATTAATAAATTGTTAAGGCTTTATCAAAACTGCAGAGGCAATTTAAAACAAATTCTTTGTCAGCAGGAACTGACTTTCCACGTACTCTTTCAACATATGTAAAATGAAAGGGAAATAAAAGTTGTGTACGTTGCTTCATTGCACCTTGAACATTTTTATTGCCAAAGTATTTCAGGACTGCAAATAGAAATATTAACCTTGTTGGTCTAATAGTAAGGATGGTCCTGTGTTTGTCTGCTGAATGATAGATGGAAATACCCTATGAATGGAAAAGTAAACATTGCTGGATTTGTTTGCAGACCAACTGTCTTAGAAGAGGACAGCTGGAATTAGAACAAAAATAACCACAAAACCAGGTGCAATGCTCATGGCATTATCAGTAACTTTTAATAATTTTGTTTCTTGAGTTTTTATGTCAAGCACTGGCTTTTTTCTGTAAACCATTCTAGCAGAGGTCAGTCTGTGCTAAAACAGTGATGGAGAAAGGACTGTGTGTCAATGTTAACTGCATGCAGGAAGATCTGGAGTTCCTATCTGAAAGGAGAGAGTTAAATCTTTGGGGAATTAAGACTTGAATGGGTCAGAGAGCAGCTCTCCACCCTCTCTTTGCCTTTTCCACAGCTCCCCTAACCTGTGAGGAGCAGGGATACCCCAAAGAGGGACAATCCATGAGCCCTTTGTCCCCATTTTCAAGGAGAGGCCCAAATCCTCCTGAACTTAGAGTTCATTTTAACCCCTGATCCAACCATTTGGCAGAGCTGGTCCTTCAGCTCTGCCCTGTGTTCCACCTGAGCCATTGCCCTGCTCCCTCTGTGTGACTGTGGGTCAGTGCACACACACAGTGACAAGTGATGGGGTAAAAAGTGCAGGTGAGTGCTCAGCACATCCTCTGTGCAAATCTTGTCCTTCCCATCAACACCATTCCTTGACACCCAGACAGGGATTTGCATGAAACTTGTGGGACGTTAACTCTTGAGACCTTGTCTCCTCTGTTAAATGTGGGTGAAACTGGTCAGTGGGTCCAACCACACTGCACAAGGCAAAAATGGCAAAAGACAGCAAATGTGGAGTGAAAGAAGTTGAGAAAACTGGCCCAAGTATTCTCAAAGACAGGTCACAGCTAGTGTGAAGAGAGGAACTGAGCAAACCCCATTCTCAAAAGATAAAAAGATCATTCTCTGCTTTATGGGAATCCACACACTACATCCCACACAGGGGGTTTTGAAGAGGGAAATTCATGCAGTAAAACTTCTTTGGATGAGAGCACTGTGAAACACCAGGAACACTGCTGTGTCTTTTCAAAAGTCTGGCTCAGTCCAGCTTTAGATGGAGACACTTCCTTCCACAAATCACTGATTGCACACGAAGCAGGATTTGGGCTGTGCTCAAGTTTTTAAGAGATTGTCTGGAGCAGTTGGTTTTCCTGTATTTTCCAGTAAAAGGTTCCACTAGTGAGGCATTTACTAAAACAAACAAACCCCCATTATTTTAGTAACCTACAAGTAGAACTTACATCCAACAAACAGAACAAAAAATGCTCTTTTACAAACTCACTTCCTACTCCACAGACACAATGGTTTGTACAATAACACCACCCTCTGCCAAGAGATTTCAGTAGAAGACACAGTGACTCAAAAGAAACAAAGTGTAAGTTTATTGGACGTCAACATTTCTTAGTCAAGATCTAAGTAAAGAAAACACACTGTAGAAAAAGTTGTACAAAGCAGCAATGGATTTACATTACATTAAAGAAAAGGTTGCCTTAAGCTATTAAGTCTCAGTCCTAAAAAAAGTAAAAACCCATCCTGGTATATTGAACAGATATAGAATGTGTAAGGTATACAGGATTATAAACCCAGAGTTGCTTGTCTTACCTCTATAATCCTTTAAAATGACAAGTGATTTTGTGTAACTAACCGGAAAACTCTCTAGAAAATATATTGGATAATTCCAATTTCTAGTAGGAAACTATTCCCCTGTACCCAAGCACTTAAAGTGATCCCATTTTCCTGCTTTTTAAAAAGGGACGCTGTCAAGAATAAGCCTTAAAACATGTACTTTATGTGTATTTTGCACTTAACGCTGCAAAAGAGGGTTTGTTCTGGTTTTCTGTACATATCTGAATTAAAGCTGCTGCTGCAATAGCGGGAAGCTTGTCTTTAAAAGGTCATGTGTATCACTGAGAGACTGGAAAAGGAAAAAGAGGATTGAGTCTTTTATTCTGGGATAGTGAGAGTAAAAGCAACATGAAAAATCAGCTCAACCCACAGAATTAAGTTACATTTTTCAGACATCCTCACAACAACTGAGGCTGCTCATAATAGGATTTTCACGCCCAAGCAGCTCAAGTGTTATGACTCAATTTGTTTTCAAATTCTTCAATATTATTAATATAAAATATTTCTAATATAGGTAAGTCCATTTTTCTGTATCCAGCCTTTCTCTTGATAGTGTCCCTTTTCATAGAGCAGTTACAGTACAGTTTTTCACAAGTCATTTTAAATAAACAAGAATCAATAACATTAAAAATACTATCAGGCTGTGTTCAGCAACAACAGAAAAAAAAATTTTAACACTGATTCAATAACAGCAATACTAAAAAACCCCCACCAAAACAAACAAACAAAAAAACCTCCAAGAAAAAACAACCCCCTAAGCTTGTTTTGATTTTTATCTAAATCTTCTGGTAGGAAAATGTAAACAATTGTATTGAACAGCATAGGCACATGCCAGATTACAGGCTCATGCCAGATATTTGCACCCTCACTCTTAGAGCCAAGAAATTAGGCATAGTCTGTCCTTATCCCATGGGAGGAACTCATTTTAACACTGGAAGCTTAGAACAGCAACAGAGAACATGAGAGCTTTTGGAGCAAACCCACATGTCCCGCTTGGGGGAAAACAAACAACATCAGGCAAAAAAAACCTCCTGGATCTTCCTGCCTAAACAGGAAACACAGGCCAAGCCTCTTAGAGCTGTCTGGTGTCACTGATAATGCAAAATCTCGTTTTTTACACAGCTCAGACCAAATTCTGGGGTCACCCACTTCACCAGGTCATCTCCTTCATCAGCTGTCACAGGGTGTTTCACTCTCCCTTACCAAAAAACCCAAAACTAGAGACAGCTTCGTTACTGATTCCTGTGTTTTGCTGCCACTGCTCACTTACAAGGTTGGTCATGGTCCCAATTCAGCAAAGAACTTGCACAGAATACTTAAAAAAAATAAGATAGGCTTAGAGGCTTTGCCAACACAGTGCCTGAAAGGAAAAAACAAAGTCCCAAACCAAAATACATTTCATGGCTCAACGCTGCTCCCCTGAAATGCAACACTAGTTTCCACTCCCACTGAAGCAGGATAGTTCTCTGAGATTTATCTGACAGGTTACAAAAATAGCAAAAAAAGGACAGAATTATAGAGTCTAATCTATATATTAAAACATCTGCACATTTCTGTCACAAATTTTAGAAAAAAAAGCAAAACACTTTTTTATATTTAAACACGACCTCTAACTTTGTGTCACTTCAATACACAGCTATAAAATTAAACAAAATATGATGAAGACAGGCTTTTGTATCAATAAATTTGCCTTTTATTTTGGCTGTGGCCAAACTAGACACTCTTCAAAAGACCTTTATTTATAAACAAGCAACTAACATTTTTTTCCCATAATTTAAATTTTAAGACATATATTAAAGTTATATAAGTGGAAGCATATTTATTCCGTATCCTCCAAAATAAACACTTCTATCAAGGGCTTTTTAAGATACTGTATAAAAGCTAATAGAAAACCAGAACTGCTATATAAACATCTCATATTTAAATTTTAGAGATCCTGAATTCCTTTACTAAACAACGGAACCAAATGTAAAAAAAAAATAAATCACACAGAACATGCTCAAAGTGGAAAACAAAACTTTAAACACCCCCCCCCCCCCGCCCCAAAACCAAAGCAACTGAAGAAAAACTTAGGAGGCTACTTAGACCCAAAATATTTTATGGATTCTTTATAATACCTAGTACACTAGGAAAAAGGTCAGGGTTTCTTCAAAGATGTTGCACAAGGTTTTGATTTAAAGTGTGTAGAATTTATCATCATAGCACAGAGCAGAATCCCAGCTGGAAGTGAGATGGCTGTGACCCAGATGAGCTGGTTGCCACCTTCCTTCAGAAAGCACACTGAATTTTAAAGGCTATAGCTCAACTTTCAGGCTGTTGTGCAGAAGAATCACTGGGGAAAACTCAGGAATCATTCTACAAAAACACGTTCGTATTTTATACAGACAGATTTCTTAAATATATATAAAGGGTACTTAGCAAGGCTTTATGTTTTTCTGATTTTTAAACCAGGTTTAAGTGCAATAACCATTTTATTCTGAAATTGCTTCTGGTAAGAAAGAAATTTATAGTCTTATTAGGTGGAATAAAAAAAGTAACTGGAAATGTCGCTATTAAGCAAGTACCTTGTTTTAACTGCAATGCCACTGAAAGAGTTTAACTGATACACAAGCAAATTAGCCTAATCATACTCAGCCACAGTCTGCCTGAAAGAGGACAAAAAAGAACAATATGTTACTTTTAGAGGTATCTAGTAGCAATTTTAGGTTGTAGTAAAACAAAGCAGAAGAGGCTTGAAACTAACATTGCAACTTTTTTGGTAGCTGAAAAAAAATCAGGGGTCCATCCTGAGCTGATTCTTTGAAACTTCACTTACAGGAAAAATAATTAAATATCTGTTGGGAAATAAAAACGGTGGCACACTTGGCTTTCACTGAGAAAAATCTGGTGTGTGCCTAAGGGTGCCCATCCTCAGATTTTTAGGAGTTACACTTGTGCTTGATTTTGCAGAATCTCAGCGTCAGCTTGCAATTCTACCTTTTGAACTCAGGATACTGAAAAAACAGTTACACACATGGTTACACAGGCAATTCAAGCCTCACTCCTGCTCCCCCTGAAACTGGTGACCAAACTAGTGCTGGTTTCAGTGGACACAGACTGGGCTCTGACTCAGCAGTGTGGAATTACATCCCCCTTCTCCCAACCCTGCAGGGGGAAAGTTGGTCAGGATCATAAACACTGTTTGCATCATTTATGTTCACTTTAACCCACCACCCCTCCACCAGGTTTAAATTCT